ACACCCATATGAAGACCTTTTCCTTTAAGAATCTTTCTGTTTCTATAGCTTGATTTCTTATGATCTTGGTAATTTCAATAATTCAGCATGAATTTTTGAGGATATAAATAGGAATAGACCTGCTCAAATTTACATAATAAAAGATGGTAAAAATTCAGATTAACATCAAATTTTTCCTCCACACATGGACTTAATTAACGGTCGGTCCTTAACAAGTTCGCTGTGGCTTAGATTGCACAACTTCGACATCAAGATCGAGAAGCTCAAGGTACAGACCTTCACCGGAGTCACAGACTTTTTATTAATTCTCTCAAGCTGAATACAGCTGTCCCACATCATTCGCTATCTTAAAGTTTCAAACACTGAGGAGTACTTGTCATCTTTTCAAGAATTATTAAAATGTGTGGTTACGGAAACATTTGATGACAAATAAATACATGAATCATACATTCATAATATAAAGAACCTAAGTGCGTTATGCGGTCATGATATTAGACGAATAAATATTGCATAGTCGAGGGAAGCAACAAAATGAATCCCAAACGAACGAAAACAGTTATGACGAAAATCATGACGGAGAAAATAGACAGCAAGAAATATGCTTCATCAGTACAGGCAAACAGCAACAAAAGAGTGTTAAGGGACCTTTCTGTAAAATATCGAACCACAGGTTGAAAACAACGCGAGATATTATTTTTCAGACACGTTATTGTTTGCTAATTTCTATACTGACACACGTTGCCGGGGGCTTTCTCAAACTACCATTTAGTCCATAGTAATTAAAAAAACAATATTAGATCTATATGCTTAAGTAGTTTGTTCAGCAAAGGCCCTGTTCAGCAAAGGCCCTGTCCATCCAATATATTGGACGTCGGATCCACGACGGAGATAGAATACCCAGAATTTACTACATTTTACAACATAACTTACCTATTCACTACTCGCAATCGATGACTCCTTCAGATAAATCCGGTGAGCAAAGATGAGTTGAATCTTTCGAGTAACCCACAATAATAAGAAATATTTTAAGTAACCTTAGCCGCAAGACAGTCACGAGTCCTATGCCTTAGCAAATCAAAAATAAGGTAGAGAAAAAGCTCTAAGAGGCTTTTCTAAAATCACCCGAAAACCAAAGAGCCCCTTAGTTGTTTACGTTTATATTGGCTGTTCACGGCGACTCGTCATAATCTATTAGCATGCGCACAACTGGTTGAAAAGGCGCTCTCATCCGTAAGACAATTAACACGAAAACAATGCAAATTTGTCCCTTTGAAATGTTTGTAACTTAAAAGTTTAGGGTCGGTAATTTATTTTATTCCATGGTTGTGGCGGTTGAGGGCTAATAACTAAACACAAACCACCAAGACGGTTTCATTTCCTCTCTCGCGAGAGCCGATATGTCCCATCAGGCGACAGGCCTTTGTTCAAAATGATCGCGGGCAAATCAGATTTCTTTTGATGAAGTCGAGGAAAAATTCCATCTGGGATAGCTAATGCAAAAAAAGAGATAACAAAAAATGCAGCAAAATAAATGTTAAAAACGGGAACGAGCAGGATGGAAGAAGTTAAATCAGCACAATTTCCACTTTTAGAAGCTTAAAATGCCTTAGGGAAACTGCAGTATTCCAGACCACTTCATCCGATCTCTTAAATTTTCCAAAATGCACTGAAGAAGCTCGGAATATAAATATGTTTGAGTAACGACTCTAGAAGCGTTGATTGTTTCTAACAACAGAGGGAAGCGTTGTTCGTTTCTATAACAACAAATGCACGGATGCAGCGTAACATACAAGTAAAGTTCTGTTGTGTCTATTTTTGACTCTCTTAACAAAAACAGATGAAAACACCTGGTAAACGAATGTCGATTGTCGTGTTCGACAAGTCGGTAAAAGGTAAAGCGAGTAACATACAAATAAAGTTATGTTGTGTTTTTTGTGAACTTCGTAACATTAAAATTAACTTGTTGCCTTGCGTAAGGCAAGTGTGATATTTTTAAGATAACAGTCTATTGATTATGCTTGTCATTTTTTTCACAGTAGTAGTCTGATAGCATCATTTCCCTTTGGATCAGAATAGGCATAAATTATGTAGTTGTGTTCTGTTTCCTCTGGCAGTCGCATGTATGTTTTGATCCGATCAAAGTATATATGAAGAGGGTAAAGCTAGCTACAATACGAATACGAACTGGTCAAAATGAGCATTTATCCTTGCATTGAGTGTGATGATGAAGTTAAACCACGCCCTAACAAGCCCTACAGCCCTACAGCTCAAAGTCTTCATGGCATTGTTAGAAACCAAGAAAGAGTTTCTCAAGCTTACGAAACGTCCGTGAGTAAGAAACGATTACTTACCAAACGAACAACGCTGCATTTTGTTGTGGGAAACGAACAACGTTTCCCTTTGTTGTTAGGAACGAACAACACTTGAAGAATCTTCATGGTGTTGTCGGAAACAAAGAGCGCTTTAGTGATAAAAAATTTCTCGACGTTATTGCCTATTTACAGTCTGACATTCTGATCTTTTTAGCATTTGTTTCTTCGGATGACTTGACTTTTTTGTATCGGGCGACATAACTAAAATTTCGGGCAACACAACTCAGGTTTCGGGCGACATGACTTCGGGCGAGATGACTCTCGGGCGACTTGACCGGTTACCACCAAAAGAATGATGAACATCCTCGAGGGTGGAAAACCAAAGGATTGATACAGAACAACTGCGGGCTGCCTAGACACTCTACCAACATAATTATGCCCGTTATGCTGCATTATACCAATTTTTCTCTCGCAAACGTTCTTTCAGTTGGATATTTTTGCAGTCTCTGGAAGTCTGACATGATACTTTTCTAGCTACAAATTGTTATTCAACATCTTACCTGGGATGCACACATTGGAACATCTCATGCGTGACACAAAAGATCTAAATAACCCCATATCCAGATCAACGCGCTCAACATCTTTGTTATCATCCTTTTAGCTCAAAAAGTTAAAAAATTCGGCTTTAATCATCGGCTGCAGTTTCGTCATATTGTTGTCAATTTCATAGCGTATGTTGATTGTGTTTATTGATCTTCGTTATATTAATTTGAGGCAATCTAAAACGATATCCAATATATATCGACTTGAATATATATTTTGCAGTCTTCCGACCCATATACTTTTCAGTCTAGACACACATTTTAGTATTTAGACATATGTATCGATATTTGAACCTTTGATCTTATTTTACAAGCATACGTGCTAGGCAAACGGAATACAATTCCCAAAATACATCATGTGTGACAACAAAACATATTACCTATTCTTATTCGATCAAAAAGCATTTGATGACATCCTCAAACCAATCAGGTGGGCTTGGATGGGTTATTTCTTTCCAAAGAGCCACAATGATAACCAATATTTTGGAGCAACCTGAGCTTAAAAGTTGTTACAAATCTTTAAACTCACAAAATCGAAAACGTATGGCACCAATGAAAACGAAAACAACCATAACAGAAGTTGTTTACGTACCCTCTCACGGGTGTTATCGTCGTGTGCATAACTAATTGAAAAGGCGCACTCATCTGTAAGATACTTTACCACATAGCAAAATAAAGACGTCCGTAAGTTACATTTCCGTCTGGGAATGATGTCAACAACCGAAACAATCTTCACAGATCAATTGCAATTGAAAAAAGTGCAGATATAGGAACCTGGACAAATTCGTGCTCTATAATGAAGGTATGAGACCAAATGTGCTAATAAGATACTTCAGAGCTGGCCGATCCTAGCTAATTGTCCCCAAATGACAAAAAATGATTAAAAAAAGAACACAGGTAATTCTTTGTTTGAAAAATTGCTGGATATAGGTCAAACGTAAAAGTGGAGGTTGCAACTATCAACTTTTCTAGGCCTAGTCCCTTTGTACGGATGAAATCATTTTTTTCAACAGTCAGTAGTTGTCAAGAGACTGTAGCTTTCTCGTTGACAGTCACATTGCCCTCTTCATTCCGTATCCACAGGCCAGGCTCATTAATGAACCTGCATTTCCGAGCACAATCAGCTGAAGGTTATGAAATAAATAGAACTTCAACAAATTATGCGGAACAAAAAAAAACCCGAAAATACTTTCGAGGAAGAAAGAAGACAGAAGATATTGACTTGTAGCCTGGTAAACTAATTATGACCGTGGTGTCTTAATTACGACCCGTACCATTAACATACTTTTTAGCGGATGAAAGAGAACAAATCCTTGTCTAAAAGGCTGAAGGATTACCTTTACAATTAAAAATTCTGTGAGTGGAACGCCTTATTCCAAGGATTCCATTGTAAACCTTTTTTTGATTATTGATAAAATGACAACAACAAAATCAGTAACAACAGTACTGAAGCATTTCTCACTGAATAGCACATCTGGCAAAAGACATTCTTACTTCGTTAAATTTAATTTTTTGAAAGACTAATATAGCAACTTTTTATTGCAAGCAACAACTCTGCCTTAATCGGGGTCAAATCTGCATTCCGTAGACAAGCGTATCAAGATCGAGTGCTCTAACAATAACGCATCCAAATGTTTTTGGTACTTCAATCAACAGGGTAGTCTAAGTTGTGGGTTTTCTTTATTCCAATAGGCCTATTGAGGCGTGATATGCTCCAAAGGGAATACAAGATATCTCGAAAACACAGCCCAAGGTTTTTCAAACCATGAACAGCGGCTTGAACCAAAAAGTGGAGCCGAAATCTATAGTCAAACCAGTCATTTAAGGCCGAATGATTAGGCCCAAAAAGCGTTAGGAAAATAAATATGAATAGGGAAAATTTCGTGGCTACATAGTAGAAAAACAGAGAAAACAATGAACACACGCAGTTTTTGGCGGCTTACGATCGAACAAGTCTCTTGAGAAGGGAAGAAAAAGGAAGCAGTGTTATTTAAAAAATAATACGTGGCCGCGCGTAGATAGGGAATGTCTCTTTGTGTGTTCAACAAACAAGTATTATTTTTCTTTATCATATTAACACAATAGGCCTTTACTGACAAAACTGAATGGACTCTATTAATGAATTAATAAAAGTTGGATCCACAGTGCGCGAAAAAAATTCGTCAAACGCTTCAGTGATAAGGCTAAAGATAAAAAACATGCGTTAAATCATTACAAAAACAAACGATGTGCGGAACTTTTAATCTACAAAATTGTTAGCGTTGACTTTTTCCCTACCGACGGTTGTCGATTTTCGTTCTCAGCCGCGAGAAATGCCATTATCAAACCCCAGTACGTAAATTTCGATTTTCCTTTTCGTATTTTGGTTTTCTTCCGCTTGTAGGATGTTCTGAAATTCACATCGCTTTCAGAAAGTGACTTTCAAAATATTTTAGAAGCGGAAGAAAACGAAAATACGATAAGAAAAATCGCGCTCATTTTTTTTTAGCTGAGAAAATGTTAGCGAACGACCTTGGATTGAGAATGGTGAACGCCTTGCCATTCATTCATCAAAATGACAGAGTGGCACGAAAGGCGAGTGACGTGTCAGCAGCTGATTGACGATGTCAAACACACGTGAATAAAATATGTCTTTTTCACACGTGTGTTGTTACAGCTTTTCTCAGGGAAACATACAGTTTATATAATAATAGTCTTTCTTTTTTTTTTCTTTTGAAAGAGAAAGGTTTTTAATTCAGTGTTTTCATACCATTTTAAGTTCACGTTGTTCTGTTACGAATAGTAGCTTGCAATGATAGATGTGTCTATGCCTCTGGCTGTTGCAGCTAGCATTATGCAAATACAAACATGCATCGAAATGCAACGATTGCATTAAGGACAATCAGTGTACCACTCAAAGTAAGTGCCACAGGGGACCCACAACGTCCAACGTTACAGAGGTCTTTATCACAGCACATTTTGCAATATTCTTCGCCATCCTTCTCCCAGTTGACAAATTCCTTGTCGCATTTGTTGACACAGTCCCTGTAAAATCGTGTCTCTCCATGTCTTCCATCCTTGACAACTTCACAAAATTCGTTTCCTTCAGAGCACGTCGCAGTTCTCGTACCATTGACTGAATCTTCAGAACACGGCTCATTGCGAGAGTCACATAGAAAGCATATCCTGCCTAAAAAATTGAGATAAAGAATTCAGTTTTCCTTATGAACAAAATCAACAATTGCGTTATTCCTTGACAAAATTTCTTCAACAGACAAATAAATAAAGTATAACGCACGTAGATTTGGAGTAGTAAACTCGGTAGCTACGAGTGAGCGCAACGAAGAAGTCGCAAAGGCATTGCCGTTCATTCATCAACCCGACCAAGTGGTGCGTAAAGCGTGTGACGTGGCAGCAGCTAATGATTGGCGATGTATTGCTTTCACTTGTGTCGTTACGGCTTTTCTCAGGGCTGGAAATCTTTGTATAACACCATAGTTTAATAATTAAAAGTACTACATTATCTATTAATTCATCCCATCCTTTTCATTTCTGCCATCTATTTTTCACTCTGACCAATTCTCTGATGAACGAAGTTACACGACTCAGTTGTGATATGAAACCATCAAACATGTACATAAATAAGCCATTTAAGTAGTCACTTACCAGCGACCTGGAAAGAAAAAATTACCAGGACGACGAAAACTGCCAAAAATAATCCTCTTGTGATTCTCTTCGTGTCCATAGAGCAGGTGCTAGGCAATATCTGTTATAGGTACAACAATGTTTATTCTTCTCGTGCAACGTTCTTATTCTCAGTCAACATGGTACATTATAACTTGGTATCAAAATGGTTTACCCTTCAACTACCATGATTTCAAAATTTCTCCTTACAATATCATTACGATATCAACCGGGCAATAATAGATAGAGGAATACCAGGTAGGGAATTAATACTTGATCCAATGCCAAAACTGGCGTAAGAAATGCAGTAAAGAGAATTGCAAATAAGATCTTGGGAGTGAGAGGATAAATAAATCAGAGGCCGTTTTTATACTAGAAGATGCATTATCGGTACAGCTTAATAATGCGTCTCTCATGGTATGCGTCTGATGTTAAGAGACGGGACGAATAATAAGACGAACGAGGTGAGGCCAACAATGCGAAATATTACGCAAATAAAAACGAATGAGAACTGAAGATTTCTTCGCGGTAAAAATTAAGATAGCGGCCATATTGAAACTTGTTCTCTCGTGAGAGAAAAGCAGAGAACAGTGTTTAAGCCGCCAATCTAAAACATACAAGGAAATGGCAAGAAAAATTTTCTTTGAGAGATAGGAGTTCGAAACTGAAGCTCGCTTTTATGTTGGTAATCGTTTTTCTTGTTGCCAGGACGAAGGCAAAGTCCTCAAGCCCCGTTTTTGCTATTTCGCTATTTTACTGTTGCCTTTTCACTTGCATCCGCCATGTTGTTTCTTTTGGCGTATAACCGCTGGCTTTTTACAGCACGGTTTTATTTTTTAACGTTCATCGTCTGCTGCCCGCCGTTGCACACACAAACAGGTTATGTGTGCACACAAACTGCCTTTCAAGATGCATTACGAAGGATAGTGCTTCTCTTGTTCCTGTCAGTTCATACAAGTGGCGCATAACCACATGAACTGTCTTTCAATAGGAAAACTACTAATGAATAAGGAAACTTATTTTATTGGCAACTGAAACCTTGCATCGAAGAAAAACGCGACAATAAACATGTAGCGGAGACTTGGTTATTTCGTTGTAGAAGTGAAAAATCCTTTTTCGAGAAAGATGCGAGTTAGTTACACTAATTTAGAGTGTTATCGTCGGTCGTTGTCTAACCGAGATATACCGAGTGTTATCGTCGGAGGCTGTCTAACTGAAATATAGTTTTTTCAAATTCATTACGATAAGCAGGAAGGAAATCTTTGGCTTTGTGTGCGCGATATAGTCACAGTTCCCAAATGAATGTGACTAACCCCAAGTAGAGTGCTCTCGGTAGCTAGAAAATTGACGCAATGCTTAATGTGGAGGACCTATCGAGAGTGATATAATCTATGTACTGCATTTGATGCAATCGAATGCAAGATCCAATAACATTAAGAATGCACGCGCATCACCCCGCGTGTGTTTCATAGCGTGAATCGAGGATTCCCTACAGCTATAAATCCTTAATCCTCAGTCTTAATGTAATTGTTCAACCCTTTAACCTTTAGGAAGTGACCAGTATCGAAGTCTTCCTTACAGTATCACTGCTGAGTTTAAAATCTAAGGAAACGAGAACAACAAAAAAAAAAGATCGCCGACTTAAGAGGCTTGTGATTGTTACGCAAATTCTCGGGTCAGTACAACATGGAATGTAAACAGAGCAGTGTGGAAGATATGCATACTGAGTTAGGGTGACTGAGAGCTAATGAAGAAATCTGATTAAATTCTGAACAAAAAATAAAAATTATATTAATTTATTAAAAGGCGATAATTAATGTTAATTTTGACCGTGCTTCAGTGAACGGGATCAGCAAGAAAGTCCATAAATTTCATCCTTGTTTGATTACAGTTCAACTTTTACGTCTTTGAATTAAATATCGTGAGTAACTTGAGTTGAAAGCTAGTTGAAAGTGTCGATAGTCCTTGATGAATGTTTATAATCATATTTTCGCCTCTTAAATTTTATTACGTCGTGTTGAAGACAGCTATAATTCTTTGTCGGCAAACTTTTAGGCTTCAACATACCATCACGTCACCAGTGAAACACCCGGCTAGCAAAGAACGCATGTGATATTTTTCAACTGACGCATGAGCAACTTCTTAGCAGTCACGCACAAAACACGAAGCATTACTGAATATTCTTTAGAAGGAGTAAGTTTCATAACTTTCAGCTTAGAACTCGTATCTGTGCCGTTGGACAGAGCTATGCATGAGAAGGGTTAAGCAATTACAAAAGATGATTGGTTCGAAAACAGTAGATGGAAACCACTGTCTGACGATCGCCGAACGAGTACTGTCATCACGTCTGCATTGAATGTGTCGCTGATCCGGTCACGGCTCTCTCCCCCGGTGACAAATTTTGGGAAAAAACAGAAATTACAATTTTCTCAGAGGCTTGGAATACATTTTGATTTCACCGCACTGCCAAGGTATCTCGTTCCTATCGTGACTTGAACAATTTCCTCACCCAACTGTTTTACCTCTCGTCTTATTGTGTCAATCTAAACTTTAATTCGGTGAACAAACCACCTACCTTTGTCGAGATAAGTGGAATCACTGCTTCATCCAACTTCTAAATCAAACCTCTGGACTGCTTCACCATGCAGAAAACTCTAGAACATAATTTCAATCGATTCGCCACGCACAGGTAACTTTGGCCGTGTATGAATGCCAATGCTACGTCAAGAGTCCGAACTTTGACCCAATATTTTAGGAAATTTTGACAGTCTTCTTCAGCGTGTAATTAAGACTTCCGGACGGGTGGAACTACTTCTTTGGTAGTTCTTAAAGCTAAAACGAGATATGCGAGGTGCTTAGATGGAGGAAAAAACTTAAAGAAAAGAGAGGAAAATGCGATCATTATGAAGAAGTGAAACAACTGACATTGGCAGGTTTAGATTACCAGGGTTTTACCAGTGTTCCCCACCTTGAATAATTCCACCTGAATATAAGGAATACCCCATTCACACCAAACCTTAATCATTTTATAGAACTGTTTTGTTTAACACAGACTAAAATTGTTTTCCTCATATAAGCTGCTTATTAAACAGATGTTTGTCGACTTCTAGTTAGTGACTATCACAATCCAATGAAATGTAACGTTTTTCCGTTCTCTGTATCAGTTTTTCATTCACTCAAACCCATATTAACAAAACATGTTTTGCTGGTGTGATCGGGGTACAAGATTCGTTATTTGCAACTTGTGTGTATCTTTGCCACATTTCCTATGCTGCTCACGAGGAGAATTTGTCTTATAATGTACAGCTTCTTAAGGTCGCAATCAGTTCTTATATTCTCATAACCTTAATGTTTGATTCAGGGTTGATGCTTTCGGGAGAAATAAGATGCTTATCACTCCAAGGGGTTTAAAATTCATCGCGATTCTCAAAATTCAAGTCACTCATATTGTAGCCGTATTTTAAGTATCATACATGGCTCGCTTGACAAGTAAATAGTTATACAAATGGTTTCGACCCGGGACTGACATTTACTTATATATTATATGTGGTCTGATCGTCCATCATCGTAACAACCAGCTATCTTAATGTTTCACACGGCTAAAGTGCGATTCTCTGACAAGATATTCGTGTTGACTCACTATATCGTGCCCTCTTAATGTCTCGGCAGATTTCGCTCAATTGTTGATCGCACAGTCTAATCAAGCCTTCCGATGAGGGCAGACTTGTAAAGGTTTACTGTCAGTCACCGTAACTCACAAGCGGCTGCCTATGATGTAATCGGCGACCGGGCCAGCAAAGGGACCATAAGGCAAACGGCAGAGCTGATTGACGAAATGCTACGCCACAGGTATGCGGTCAATAACGCGGACTCAACCGTTCGGGGTTTCAAAATTCAGCAAAATTTGCGGAGAGAAAAGGGGCTGGGATTTAATACCGAGGCATTTTGTTGTCGTTGAAAGCATTTTTCTATTTCTAGTGTTTAAAATGAGAAAGCTAATTTTTGAAAAAATATTTAGGGGGTGTAGAAAGTTTTTGGAGGTTGTTCTGAAAATGAAAAGCGACGAGGGAAACAAAAACGCCTAGAAGCTACAGAATAGAAATCAAACGTGCCAACAGCTCAAAATCCGTTTTACGCGTTTTACGCGCCAAAGCCTAGCGCATGCACAGACGTTATTCAGCTCTGTCAAAGCCAACCACAAAATCAAGACTTGCTCGCAGGCTCAACAGACGGCGGTCAGAGGTCTTGTACGAGACTGTAGACTACTGATAACCAGCTTTTCTGGAAACTCCTGAGGTAACTGACACATCGAAACCCTGAGCAGAAGCAATTATCTGTACGACTAATTCGTAGAAGTGGGAAACTTGGAACATTGGCAGAGTGAAATTTATTTTATTGGAACTTCAATGATTTACAAACTACTGAAAACAATTTAAAATTGATTAGTTCAATTTTGATAACATCATATTTCGACGGTTTGCTTGCATATCAAACACTTTTAAAACGCGAGAATCCACAAGAAGGCCGCTGCAACGCAGTCAACTTTTCACCCATCTAATAAGGTAATTTTTTACCAAAATGTCGGTCAATTCAATACTCAATACTTCAGCTTCGAAGAATAAGTTCTCGATTCAGTACCGATACAAATGGGTTTTAAACCTTAGGACGACTCCTACTATGAAGTACACACTTAATAGAAACTAAAAGGGAGTGACGTCAATCGATGATTAATTGTAAAGATGAGGTCAATCTCCAGTGTGCGCATAAAAGTTGCAGAATGTTACTTTGAACGTTACTTTACAAATTGACTCTTCCGCGTCTACGACTTCACAGCATATTTACAAGATGAAATCAATTTTACTTCCAGAATGAAAAAAGCCATAGTTTGGTCAACAAATACCGACAGCAACGACCAAGTCGTTAAATTATCCTCTCTGTGTGAGAATTCAAGACTCTTCGTATTCCACAAATCTTAGAGACGTATCCTATGCGAGAACGATTTCTGACAATAGCGTTATTTTCCTGATTTAGCGAATCTGGCAGAGATCCGGCAAATATTTAGACTCAGGGAAATCTCACCTTTACCTTGAAATGGGTTCTCATACAATCTTCATACTCCAAATTTGCGTTATCTGTGGTCAAAGTTTTGCAACACAACTTGTACACTTTTTCCTCCTCCAAGATGATGAGTTGATTTCATTTTCAATAAAATAATCGAATTGCTTCTTTTGAGAGTTTATGATCATCTAGGAGACTCATCTATTTTGAGGTCACACTAACACTCATCAAAGCTTTTCGTGAGGGGCATTTCACCCGTGTCGTGAAAACCCCAGGTTTAAATTCGTATATCTGCTTTACTACGAACCGTGTTTGGTTTCAACTCTCCTCACACGTCAGAGGCAAAACTCAAACCAATCACTATGTGGATAGGCGTTTTCCTGCGCGTTAGTTCATCAAAATGTGCTTTTTTCGACTTCCTACTCGCTTCTTGCAACATTTACCTCTACTTTCTGATTGCAGGTTGTGATCACGTTTGTTTGACTTTAAAACAGTTAATCAATAAGCGCTCTGTTTCAAAATTATTTGGAATTAAGCTGTAGTAATGTCTACAGCCTCTGGAGTTGTGTTGATCTCCCCAGGCAGCTGAGAACCCGTCACAGGGTCACCAATGATACTCATAGTGGCGAGACGGGCTCGGCGATAAACAAGCAACATGTTGAAACCCAAAAGCCTGAAATAAAAGAATATTAAGATGTATGAGTTGGTCCAACCGTTTAAATCAGACTACGCTGCTCTATCTGACCGATCAAACAGCTACCTGACGGGTAAAAGTCTTTGACTACCGAAGAGACAGGCTAAATGACTGGCTAATAGATTGACTGGCTGACAGACAAACTGATGGACGGATTGACAGACTGATGGACTGACCAACCGACAAACCGACGGACCGACCGACCGACTGACAATTGAGCGAATGAATGACGGATGACCGGATGGACAAACAGACAGAAAGGAAGACCGACTGTGGCAGACAAACAGTACATGTATAACCCAAGACTAGTAGGATCAACCAACAAGTGTATGTCATAGCCTTCAAGTTGAGTCTCAAGACGACACACCCTTCATGAGACATGTTTCAGGCTTAATTATATAGCTGGTCAGTTAATCTAATATTGTCAGCGCAGCTAATATCCTTTAATATCTAAGAACTGTTCAATTAAGGATTAATTTTGGATAGTTTCACTACGGACTTTAAGTTACAAATTCACAAGCTGTCCTGTTTAAGAAACTTAGGGCAAATTGCCTCAGCCAATCAAATCCAAGCAAAAACTACATGATAGAAATATGCAAAGCATAGCGTCAGCTCTGTAGACTTGTTGTGTTGTTGGTTGATAAATGGCAGAATTTAAATATTCCTCGTTATGAGCTGGATGCAATTTTCTGCCTCTTTTTGCTGAAATTCGGTGACGAATACGACCAGTCTAACCGTCATGCAGTGATCGTTGGACCGCCATTTGAAAAACTGTGACAGAAACTACAGTTCCTTACGAGATCGTGAATTTACAAATTTAAGACAACAACTTGAGGCAAAAGCCAGTGAATTAAGAATACAGGGTTACGGAAAGCGAAAGAATGCTTCTCATGCTTTCAGTGAGTTTTTTTGAAGTAAGTTTTTTAATTAAATTGTTATTCTATGTTATTATGGCATTTTATTTTGGATATTTTAAAATAGAAATAAAAAATTCTCAGTACTTCAGTGTGCCTTTTCTCAGGGATAGTGGTTTTCCTGACAAGGTTGTATTAACTGACCAGCTATGTAATCAATAAGTAAGAGGACTAAATGTTTGTCCAATCTGGAAATAATTGGACTGAAAAAATTATTCTGATGAGAAGGCCGTAGGTCGAGTTCAATTTGACAGTCCTCAGAATTTTCTTCACCCAATTATTTCCAAATAGCATGTAGTCCTATTACATATACAAATTTCACAATGCAGGGCAATATAGCACAAGACCAACATGACCGACCAACTGACTCACGAATAAGAAGTTTCAAGACACAAGCGACGCATTACCTCGATAATCAAAAACAGAATCATTAAAATCAATTAAAAGCCATCCAAACAACTAACAAACTAACAGAAAGATCAACCTGGCAAAGATACGGACAGATTGGCGACACACACCGATCCTCTAATCGTTATCATTTTACTTATTTCATAGATTATACAACGACCAATCAATAAATTAATCAATCAATCAATGGACCACGTGGAAGAGGTGAACTCACTCACCTGAGACAGACGTACTCGAGTACCACGCCCAGTCCTATGACCACAACCTTACAAGTCTCAGACATTTTGGTTAAACAAAGAAAGTAAACACTAATTGGAGTTCCAATCATCATGGACAGAATCAGCGTTGTCTGAATCCAATGCCTTGAGCGCCAAAAGAGGAATATAATTTCAATTACATAACTAAGCTATAGACCGCACTTTTAATCGTTTTATCAGCCTAATAACCCACATAGGATGCTAAGAGAACACGAGAAAAGTTTGTAAAACACAAGCCGGAGGCGAGCGACTCACAAACTTCCTATGGGCTTACCGGTTTTATAAACGATAGATTTCGACTAATCAGGGCGCTCGTAGTATCTGACTTATTTTATAACCTGTGCTTGTTCTGTCATAGTGAGCGGTTTCAAATGTCCTTCAAGATTAACATTTGGAAAAAAAAGAAAAGGTTTTCGTAAAAAAGTAAGTGGCTGACAATCAGGAGCTACTTTTGCATTCCCTTCTAATCGTAAATCGAGCCAATTTTAATGGCAGGTTTATGCTCGCTCTCAGATTTTCTTCAATTCATGTGCTAGAAAAATATTGGAAAATTAATCGAAGACGAAGAATATCACCCTAAAAAGCAACTAACAATTGAATAACCGAGAGGTTTCTCTTGGGCTGTTAATAATGGGAGCAAAAGATAGGAGCAGAACAACTTAAATAATTTCCTACCTGACAGTAAGACCACTCGGTAACCACTTTCTTCCTGTTTCCAATTTGTACTGTCGAAGCAGATAGACAGCGGTTACGATACCATCAATGACCGTAAAAGACCACGTCTACATTATTACAGGGGTTTACAATTCGCCACCACTGAGAGTCAAATCTCCACCGGTGGCGATTTGACTTAAACGTTATGCGTAGCCTGTCGTATAAAGCTTACATCAAATGAAAGCTAACATGTAGTAGTACATTGCGAAAAGGGAAAGGGACTCAGAAGTTATGTATAGCCTTCCAATTAATGCAACCGTTAAATGAAATAAAACATATTGATATCACGAAGATTATGATAAGTTTGCGTAGAGCGAAACCAGAGTGATTTTCGCCGATGGTTATGAAATCGTATGAACCTTACATCAAATAAAGGCTAAGAATAAGTAGTATATTGGTACAAAAAGCGCGCACAAATACAATGCAGTCTACAGAAACCGACTCGGCGTCCTTTCTCTGTTTTAAGAACAAAGAATATCAAAGTGACCTTTAACACAAGTTTCGTTCTTACGAACACAATTCGTAATCAAATCAAATGGAAAGTATGATATGAAAGCCTAGATCTTGAAGTTTATTCCCTTTTTTAGTTCTGAGATGAAATTAGGACTTTCCACGTTGAATGGAAATGTTTGATTACACGCAAAACAATTAAATGTAGACTAGACTTTCCACGCTGGATGGAAATGTTTCATTACACGCAAAACAATTAAATGTAGACTAGACATTTGGCGCTTTGCAAAGCAGACTCGAATGTTAAATTTAGCAACCAAGAAAGACCATAGACTACACAGCGTAAACGGAAAAAAAAACTACAGCTAAGGATACACAGCGTAAACGGAAAAAAAACTACAGCTAAGGAGTACCTCTTCTCTGCACACTTTGCATTTGGGCCCATCCAAACGGCTCTCAGGGCAAGACTGGGAGATAAGGAATACAAATAAAAAATAAATGGCTATCTCTTAAACCTTAAAAGATGTGATAAAGATCTTCAAGCAAACTGCTACAGCGTTCATCTCCTTTCATCTCCTCTAGCTTTACCAACAGGTTAGTGAGTGGGATTGAATCCATTTTTACGAAACTTTAGGCAGGTTCTCCAAGCGTCTACTGCGGAAATGTAATCGTCCGAGTGAGGGGAATCTTGAACAGTGAACAGTGAATGAGCAGAAGTTGTCATCAAGATCAAGACAAAGTCACTTGGCTCTGACAATGACTCTGACAATGACTTCCGGTCAGGTCGTCATCCACTGTCACCGACACAAGCCCCGTTCAAGACTAACAGTAGACACGAACGATTACACTAACACTAAACACGTACCATCTCGAATTTGCCCAGATGTTCAGGACGTTTACAATGGTTTCAATAAGACAAGAGCAGTTATCTGAGAAATTCATAAGAGCAAGCACACGATTACTCTACCGCGGGTAGATTACCTCAAGAAGCCATCTCTTCAGGCAGTCGTGGTGTACGGCAGCGACATCTCCTTTGCAGTTACATGGTAATATCATTGGGCCAGCATCGGTGCGATCACTGTCATAACAAATCCAGCAGTCACGGTGAGGTGCGTCAATATCTGTCAATCAAAATAGAATACGTAAATACAAAAGCCAGTAATAGAGCACAAAATGTCACGCTATCACGATTTATCCTTGCGCAGCTTGTTTACGCTGTTTTTGGCTGTTTTTATTTGTCTGTTTTCTTTCCTTCCGCTTGTTTGCTTTAGTGTGGTTGAGGACCTTGTTAGAGTCTAATACACTCAATTATTTACACAGATCGTGATATTCTTTAAGAGTAATTAAAGAGAATTTTCTTTCAACATCATAAAAATTACTCATAATTTGCAAAAGGAAGGAGGATGATAAATTTCCCCTCTCGGCCGTCAGTGCCAATATCTCTATGGGAGAAGCTGTTTTACAGCTAAACTCGAAGACTGATTATTCTTTCCCCTGTACGGCTCCATTTATTTGTCGAATAATTTTCAACAAATCACGGCGGTACTCTCTATCAAATTATCTTCATGTAAGTGATAGCAATGATACATGTATTACTAATGGCGCGATTGACCGGTAATACTCGACAATATTCGTTGAACCTTCAGGGAATAATTGATTTAGAATCATTATCCAGGTGATTAACAGCGACCACATTTTCCCTAATTTTCCTTCTCCAGTCAAAGCTTCAATGCTTCAATATTTCACCTCGCGCGGGACGATCACAGCTAGATATGACTAAACCGACACAACCATTGACCAATGTGAGTACACACATCACTGTCATCATCATCATAATAAATATAGTGATCGAATGAATACAATGAACAATAGCAAGCACTATTACAAGAATCATTTTAACAACTCTTTTGCGATATGCAAAGTGCATTGAAGGTAATTTACGGCTAAAAGAAGCAATTTCAAGGCTAATCATAAGCAAAAAGTTGAATGCAAATATCGATTTGAAACTCTACAGTGCGATTCTTTCCTTGCACAACATACATGCACAGAACATGACCTTAGAGAGGGGTAAAACACTAAATATGTCTGATAAATCAATGGAAATAGTAGCGTTCAAACACGTAATTTGCAAGAAACTGAACAACCGTTATGCATGTCGAAAGCGCAAGGCGAATGCTTTTGGCTCGACAACTGTAACAACATGTACAGGAAGATAAATTTACCAATGAATCCTGCATGCCGATTGCACGGAGTCCAACAGACGGCATTTCTTAGGTCACGAATGGTGAGAGTCAGAGGATTTGGTCGCTCCATGAACGCTCCTTATCTACAGAACACAGCACATGTAGCTTGTACTTCCACCGAGCATAAAGCCATAGACTGCAGCTCTTTCATACAAACCCATTACGATATTTTTATTTTTAGCAATTAAATCAGAGTCAGTCGTAAATTTGGTTTGCTATTACCATACGTCACGGAAGACTGGTTTGTTTACATTTGCAACAAAACATCAGAGATCTGAGGGCGACTTTAAGATAACGACGAAAGTCGTAATTTCGTTCGTTCATATACATACGAGCATTTCTTGAAGCCACTCAGTTCATCGGATAGTATGTATTATTACCGACCATAATAAAGCCAGTAACGCAAAGACTTAACGGCTAAAGGGAAATTCTAAGAAAGCCAGCAACGGAATGACTTGACGGCTACATTCGCGTACGTATAAGAAAAGTTAGAAGATAGCCGGTAACGCAATGACTCAACAGCTAACTCTGCGTCGGTACGCGTTGACAAGGATACATCGAACGAAACGGAAAAGCAGCGAATTTACATTTCTGATAAATCTCGTCTCAGGCTTCCAATGTTCCCACATGTACTGACGTGAGCCAATATTATTAACATTGTTAATGCCCAAAGCGTGGTGTTCGCTCCTCGGGATTAAGTGAGCAACCGGATGAAAAGAGTAAAGAACAAAAATGAATATTAGGATTCGAATATTGAGACGTGGTAGGAACAGCTGTCCTCATCAAGAATTTACTGTAGTTTGCCATGAGCGTCATAACTTATTTCATTTTGCTGAAGGCTTTCACCGTTTAACCCATTGAAGAGACAAGCATCTACATGTCATTTCTCCTTACAGAATCCCTGCCAATCAAACATTATGGTCATAAAATAAAGGAAGTGAAAAAAACGAAGGAATCCCTCGATTTTTAAACAGACTCTTCTTGTCAGTGACATTAGAAATCTAAAGATAACAGTATGGAGTATGTCAGTGTATAATGATGTTAGGAAGTGAAGAGTTAATGACATGCTACACTTAAAATCACAATGCTTTTCAACCGTTCATTGCTAGAAGCAACACTCAATTCCATTATGTTTTTCTACAGAAGGTGAAACAGGAAACAACGAATTTAAAACCTATATAGCCTCTCTCACCTGCATCTGTTTCAATGGCTTCGTATGAATGACAATGATGGGAGTGACCCAATAAATGAGAGGTTTCCTAAAAAAAATTGACACATTTTAAATCAGTATAAAAACACAGAAGTTCTAAGGTTTACCATTTTAAATATTCCCTCTAATCAGAACTGGAACTTAAGTTCGAGTATAAGATTGTTACCTCACCTTGCACAAATAACAGGAAAACATTAAAATAAAACAATAAAAACAAAACTTGAAATCTAAATAATCTTCGAAAGCACAATACCTCATCCGTCTCATGTACAAGCAGTCGCGTAGGGTTTAATATCCAGAGCTGACTGGGACTGAAACGATCGAGAAAAAAGGCTGTCAGTAACAATATTCAGACATCACAGTTGCGGCAAAGCAAGTGCATCTATATGCAACATGATTTGGCGGTCAGGAGGCATTCAGGATGTCAATTTTAACCCTTCAACACGATGATGTGATTACCTAAAACTTCTCGCAGCATCAAAACATGCATCAACCCGTGGGTACTATAAAAGTATACATGTATGTCTAAATTCTCTTTACTTATCTGAAGGAGGCATATATCACATCTAGAGGGGAGCGTTACGACTAACATTGGAGTAGAGGATAACAACTTAGCCAAACCCACCTTTTCCAATTCCAAAGACAGCAAGAAAACCAGAGTGCTACGCCCAGCTCAAATACTCTAAAGACAACCTCTAAAGCATTCCTTCCCTCCATAGGCAGTCTGAGTAAAAAAGAAAGCTCACATTTACAATTCGCATCTTCTTTTCTTCTTTTTTTCTCTAAAATCGATCAAAATAGGAGAGCATCTCACCAACCCACGCACACTTACAGTTGATGCTTTAACCCCCAAAGTCCCAAAGTGATTACCAGATAACGGTTATCAGCTCATACTCTGAATCACTGTATATATGTAAAACGATTCACCTGAGTGTTGCTAGGATCAATTTACTTTAAACGTAACAACAAAGTCAGTAAGCTCCAAAGGCACTACCGAAAAGTGGTTAATTTAATAAAACAATTATTCCATTTGTGCTTGTTGGATAGCAATCTCTGCGCTACGCACCTCGTTGGCTATTTACCATCTCAAATCCAACTCACGCTCATGGAATAATTGTTAATTTGATCCGGCAAGAGGGTGAGAAGAATGGGAAGAATTATCTGCTGTGATGCATTAACCCTTTAGCTCCCAAGATCTCTTAAGTAGTTCTCCTTACTGTCTGCCTTACAACTGTTATGATGTCAATTTGGAGAATTTGGTATTGGATCAACTAATATTTCCCGAATTTATATTTTTCTTTATTCTCATCACTTTTATGCTTGATATTGTATTGATAATGTAGGGAGAAATTCTCTCTTGGTCACTCATGGGAGGTAAAGGGTTAACTAGAGACATTACCAAATTCTCTTTGATAATCTACCAGCTAAGTATCATCGTAAGTGGCTAGAGTGAGGAATCATTGGAAGCAATAAGCAATATTTACTACCAATACTGTGCAGTGCATATGCTTACTTGTGTTTCCATTTTGCCCCCATAATATCACCAAGGAGGAAAAGAGATGTGAGCAGCTGAAAAAAACCAACTCAAAAATCATTATTAAGCACACTTCACTCGAATTAAAATTTTGATCAAATATTAACATGAAAAAAGTCTCAACCATTCTCAGTACTATTCTCGTTTGCAGCAGTTCTGGAATATTTCTGGACAGTCTCGCCAAGAGAAGTATCTTTCAACAAAAACAACCTATTTGCCTCTGAGAGGAGCAAATTGGCAAATCTGAGGATGAGATGCACGTATTTGATGCCAATTTGGCAACAACAGAAAAATGGATGCAACAAAACAGGGGAATATTGTAAACCATGAGATAGAGTTACTGTACATGCCCACCTTTCCTTCCAGAACTTAAAAAGCGAAATAAAGATGAATTTGACAGTTTACCTGTAGGGATGCTTGTGAAAATAGACCAAATCTTGACATTGCAGCTTGGGTGATGTCAACATTTGATGGCTCTGTAGTTATAAAAGCACCCCGCACCTGCAATAAATGCAGTAATGATGATTTTTTCATTTAGTTACTTAAAAACGGGTTTATCCAAATTCTCAACCATCATTGAATAATTTCTTAGTCTTTTTCTCCCATACCACATGTCACCATGACAACACTACTGCCTCTCAGAACGTGCCCTTGACTCTAAAATGAGTTGGTGAACCCCTTTTTTTATCATCAAATCACAATTTCAGCATTGTCTAAGTAAAAAAAAATGGTAAATAATGCACATTCCATGCTACCTTAATTTATGGATAATTCTGTTTGATCCCCACTGGCTAATTTCATTTACCCTTAACCAAAAGGTTGCATTCACAAATTCATGTTTTCTCTCTCAAAGTAAGCTCCACTTCTCAGAAAACTATGCTTCTTTCAAGTAATCTTTCAGCTCCAGGAACTAATCTCTAAGAAACCAGCCACTATACACCTGTATCTGAATGGTTTTTAATTAACTAAGTTTACAGACTGCTTCACATTAATCATGGATGGCTCTGTCATGACACACAAAGGCCCAAAAGGTCTCACAAGAGTATAGCACATACATTGTACTTACCTTGTAATACAATTCAACACCATATATGAGAAATAACGTAAGCATCAAGAACATCAGGACAACAAAAATGCCAGTAAAAATATTGGATAAATAGACCTGGGAAAAAAAAAACAAAAACAAAAAAAAAACATGTCAAATATATTAATCAATTATGCTTCATGTTTCCAGTGAAAAAGGTTTCCTGTTAATTGAATAATCTATAAACAAGAGCTGTTCTCAAATGAAACCAAATAAATCAGAGCTTGATGATTTTTCTGACCTTTCCTTGTTCATCTGTGATCTCTATTGTTATGAACTGTGCCAAAAAGACCAGGAACAAAAATACATTGAATGCAATAAAAGCTAGTGAAGATTTGCTGAGGAAACGTGGCTTGTCAAGCCGCAGACCAACCACATGAAATGTCTGCAAGAGAGCAAAAACAAAAACAAAAAATAAAGGAGTGTTACTGTAGAAGGATTACTACTGTCAATCACAATTTATGTTTATGAGAGTATAATGGTAATTTACCTCTGCCCAAAAACAAATAATTAGAGAGAATCCAGAAATAATAGGTGGATAGTACGCATTAAATAGATTGATTCCTAACCAGGCAGGAAGGTACCTCTGAAAAAAAACAAAAAAAACAAAAAATTCAATTTCTGGCAACTCTTACCTTGGCTATCAATACAATAAAGATTGAGTAAAATTATCACTTTCACTTAAAATGGATGACAAGAGAGAGAATTCAAAATATTTCAATATAAAAAGAAATCTAAATTTACCTGAACTGAATAATACACTCCCCTTGATCCACAAGCTATAATCATACAAATGTACAATGTCTTTTGCACTGTCAGCCGGCAGGCTTTGGCTACGCTTGGTCTCTTCAGCTTTTTAAACTCTGATCTAACACAAAGGAACTGAAAATACAACAGAGGAAATATCAGTGTTAGCTTCAGCAAAGTTATGGTCCAGGGTACATGTAGTTGTTGACCCAGTGGTAAAGCCGAATGGTAAAATATTTGGTTGAAGGACACAACATTAAGACCAAACTTTCCTTAATTAGCTCACATCTGAAACTTTCTGGCCCTGCTTGAGCCACTCCATACTGCCACCATACCACATTTTTTTTACAGTCAAATTATGTTTCAAAAAAAAAAACATATATACATACATACATATATTTATTGTTTTTTTAGAGGGCACGGTAACGAATCTTGCAATCTGATTGGTTCTTTACCCGGTCAGTATTTTCCTATCTCTGCCCACGGGCCACGGTAACGCTTTTGTGAGTCGCCGAGTACATCCCAACTTTCGTTGTCATTTTTCATAAATATACCTCGTTTTCCGGCTGGGCAGTATTTTTAAGCAAACACATCGCTCACTACCTCAAGCCGATAAATAACTTATGAATCCTCTCTTTTCTCTCTATCAAATCACTTTGGTTGACAGAAAAATATTGGTTTCAGAATGAATTTGTATAAACAATATTGTCATTACATTGGTTGACAAGCGGCCTAAAAACCGTCTGCAATTAATTTTAATCGTTCACAAAAAGTACCCAGAAAGTTGAAACGTGAGGTATTTGGTTACAGTTAAACTGAACAATGGAACTTTCATTCATTTAATATCTGAATTTTCTCAAGCAATTTGTTCATAGTGAAATAGCAAGCAAAGTTTTAATTTAAGTTCTACAACAAATATACGCTCCCAGTGAGTCTTTCCAATTCCGTTCAATTTGGACATTTGTACCGTAAATTGCACAACAGAAATTGAAGGATGTTTTTTGAGAAAAGGCAGCATTACATTCCCTTGTGTCTCGTTGGAGTGTGCCGTTCGAATTTAGTTTTTGTGAAGGAAAGATCAGAGTTAAACACGCCATTACAGCAAACAAACGAGCAAACTCTCACAACTTCAAAATAAAAAAATTGAATTTACTCACAATTACTTTCCTCGCCGTTTACTTAATGAACAGAGGTAAATCTTCGTACATGAATGAATGGTCAATGAGAGTGAATAATACTTTCCGTTAGATCATTGACTGATTTTGAAGAAAATATTGTCGTGACAGTCCTTGCCAAACTAGTTCTGTTGGTTTTCAAATGTTCCTACATGTACGCTTTTTTTTTCTTGCGCGCTCTCTAATTGACAGGTGTCAGATTGTGACAGATACTTGTAAAAATAATGTTTCAAAGTTTGTTTGGAAGCCTTTTAAATCACCTTTATCGCTACAGAAATGAAAATGTTTCGCTGAGGCATCTCTCTTAAATTTGCATCACCTCTATTTCAACTACCATTTACTCACTCAAAAATTGTTCAGTTTATAGAAGATCTTGCCGTATTTACAGCCATAAATCATTCGCGTTCTTTCGGAAAGAATTTCGTCAAGTTTAAAGACAATAAATATGTTATTTACCGGCTAAGGGTCGGTCCGTATGGTGAAAAACTGTGACCTCGGTCTTGAAAATGCTGCCCTTGGCCTACGGCCTCGGGCAGTATTTTCAAGACCTCAGTCACAGTTTTTCACCATATGGACCTCCCAGCCGGCAAATAACATATATATATATATATATAGCAAATGCTGTTGGGAAAGTGCTCAATACACATAAGTGTAGAGCAAAATACAGTTCAAAGTGACTAAAATGAAACACGCATGATTCCCTGTAACTACGAGTTTCGTGCTTACCCACTCGTCAGACAGATTAAACTGATCTGACACTTGTCAGACAGATTAAATCTGTCTGACGAATGCGTAAGCACGAAACTCAGAGTTACAGGGAATCATGCGTGTTTCATTTTAGTCACTTTGAAGTGTATATATATATATAGGTCATATGATCCTACATTTTGTGTCTTGAATACATACACTTCATTTAATTTTCCTCCTCTCCATTTCCAACTTAAAAAAGTCTGATTAAAAAAGTCTGATCTGCTAGGGTGTAGTCCAAAGAGGATGATATCTGACACTAAATGGAATTCAATTCAAGATTCCTAAGAAAAGGGTGGAAGGGAAACCTCAACCACCACCACCACTAGTGAGAAAGTGCGAGGGGGAGGGGGGTGGGGAAGAAAAGGAGTTACATCCTGGCTCCCAAGTAAAGATAAGGTTTAAGTTATGCATAAACCAACTACCTAGCTTTCATTCTCAAATACACTTCCTGTTTAAAGCTGTTATTTTTCATCATTCAAAACAAATCAGTTATTCCTTACCCACTATTTCACCCTTTAGTTTGAGTGACCAAGACAGAATTTCTCCCAACAACATCAATACCATATCAAGCAGACAAGTGATTAATGAAGAATATCAACTAGGGGATAATTAGCTGATCCAATACCAAATTCTCCAAACTTGCATATGCAATTTATAAGAATTGAATAGTAGACAGTAAGGAGAATCACTAATGACATCTTAGGAGCAAAAGGGTTAACCAGTACAACTACCAAGTTTTCTACAGTATTTGTTACATACCAGTTGAGTTGCAGACACTGCAGAAACAAAGAAGAAAACCACACTAAAACCAATGAAGTATCCTATGTTTGCATCGTCACATGCTCCACCGCTATATTTGACCTGAGGATAAAAAAAATTAAAATCAACAGAATTCAAGACAGGTTTTCACCTCATAATATCAGGACAATATCAAGCAGACAAGTGATGAGATTATAGAAAAATATTAATTGCCGGTGGGAGATTATTAGTTGATCCAATACCAAATTCTCAGAACTACATTTAGCATCAAAATAATTGAATAGCAGAAAGTAAATGGAATTAGTAATAAGATCTTGCGATTGGAAGGGTTTAGTAACAAAAAGAGTTTTTTTTTCACAAAATGTTTTCTTTTTTTTTTAACCTAAGATAATGATACAATTTTCAGAATTGCAAATGCTAATACAACAATGCCTTCTGTTAATGGTAACCCTTGATGCACATTTCTAAAGTTTAGATGTTTTGACCACAACAAAATAATTAGAAAAGTTTTCAAGCGAGCAGAATATGGTAAATCTATCTTAACCCTTTAACTACCATGAGTGACCAAACCAAAATTTCTCCTTACAATATCAATACAATATCAACCAGATAAGTGATGAGAATGAAGAAAATATCAATTTGAGGATAATTAGTTGATCCAATACTGAATTCTCTGAACCAACATTATAAGAATTGTATGATTGACAGTAAGAAGAACCACAAATGTGATCTGGGAGTTAAAGGGTTAAAACAATTTGATCACTACAATTTGATTGAACATACATGAGTACACAAGCAAATCAAAAATTGTCTTGGTTCTCATGTCTTTCTCTCATTGGCTCACTGTCATAAATAACTGAATTACAATATGATATTTAAAATATATTCAAAAGCCCTAAATCAAGTAGAAACAAGGGCAGTTCCCAGATGCAAGAGTATTACTAAGTCAGCTGTTGAAAACCAAAGCCACTAAGTTTAAAGATACTACAAGCCACTTTTTACAGTGCACATGTAATGGCATGAGTTGCATTTAGACATGATTTGATGCTACTCTGGTTTAGAGATTTAATGAATGTAACCGAGAAGTAACAATTCATAGACCCAATGTTTCGACACTCCTGTCTAGTGCCTTCATCAGGGGTGATCTAACCACTGCAACAAGAGGTCCTTTTCTATGCTCACTAATTAGCTGCCCTTTTTTCTGACGAGGTGGAAATAGGTATCAGGTAGTAAGCCGCCATCATCGCTATCTAAGGAGTGTAGGTGGAAATGATATGCCAGGCTTCCAAACAAAGGCACTAGTGGCAATGTAGATTAGTATTGATAATTTTAGAATTATCCCATCCAGTTGTATGGTAAGTCAGGCATGTGTGCTCCCACAAAGCTGAATTTTCTTTTTTGCAAAAGAAGAGAGCTTTTTGATAATGCTCTTTCAAATGTGTACCAAAATGACCTTTGGTCTGTCAGATATACTTATGATCACAGTCATTACATAGAATAGAATAAATAGCATCAGGTCCTTGTTCCTTCACGACAGGATCCTAGGGTTTGGCAAAACTATGCCCTAAAGTCTGAAAAGGTTTTTGAGCAACTTACCAAAAACCTGTTGACAGTAGGTGCCACTGTATACAAATTGCATACAATACCTCACTTTTGACTCTAGCCACCCTATTTGCCATAAAAAGTCTTAAGCTAAAACTTAACTCAGGAGGGCTGACTGTCTACCATCTTCACTCAATTCAAAGGCTGAGGAGAAGAAATATGTTTCTGATGTCCTAACGGTTAATGGCTATACCAATACATTTCTCTATACCTGCCAGAAACCAGTCACAACTAGTAACACTCCTGATGAGAAGGAAGCAGCGACTGGTTTTGCTGTTATTTCTTACATTCAGTGTGTTATGGAACCCAACAAGAGAATTTTGAATAGCCACAAAGTTTAAGTTGCTGATGAAGGCACTAGACAGGAGTGTTGAAACCTTGGGTCTATGAATTGTAACTTCTCAGTTACATTCATTAAATCTTTAATCCAGAGTAGCATCAAACCATGTCTGATTGTCAGCCTGGTTGCCTTGTGAACTTAAATATATCATGAGTTACATTTATTTCATCATCTGTCTGCAGTGACAAAAGAAGCAACACAAAACCAATGTTCACCACATTATGCCAATAAATCTGTCAATCTCGCTATGAGACCAAACAGTATCTCCTCTTGATGGGATTCACAAAAATGGAAAAATTTAATTCTCACACCGAAGATTTACAACTACATCAAAATCTTCCACCATCATTTACCACAATATGCAAATTTAAAGACGTGATTGTAGCCTGTGTATCAAAGCTGTTTCTCAGGGGGTCTGCAGATTATGGTTTGCTACCACAAATCTCCATTGCTAGGTGGTATTCAAAATCTTGTTCAGCAATGTAAATTACTTCTTCCTTAGTAGGCATGTGCCACTGATCGAAGATAAAGTTGAACTTTACTTTTCACATTAAACATCAAGTTAATTGCCAACACGTTGTAATTTTCGTAAACATCAGTACATATTTACATATTTTGGTGTATAAAAAAAAAGAGGAAATGTACCCTGAGAGCCATTTAAAGAACTCAATTGATCTGAGTGGAAACTAGAAACAAACGAAATCTCAGAAGAGTTTCGCGTTCTGTTTCCAGTAAACATTCAACGATGCGTAGAGAGAAAAGTAATTAGGAAAAAAGGATATTAATTAAATTTGTTCACTCTGATTTTGAAACGAAAAAGGCTATTACCTTTCACGTTGTGAGTGAACAACGTTATCGTACACTTATTTTTTCCGTTTTCTTGCTGACATAAGACAATGCGGGAGATCTCGACACGGAATAGTTGAGGTCGATAAGAACTTTCGAAAACATGTATTAAAACGAAACATTCCTTGCAAGGATTGAGTATACAATAGCACTCCACAGTTGACCTTACAAAATAAGTTGTGACTATGAAGTTTAAAGACAACTTTCTGAACATATTTAAAATAGATTCGGTACCTCACAGATGCAAGATCCCCTAACACACAAGCCATGGTCGTTGCAGTTGCTGGGGCAATTAGTCGAACTTCCATCGCTCATTTTCAATAGGAAAAAGCTCATTTTGGAGCAAAAAAATCGCTTAATCGTCAAGTTGTCAATCTACCACCACACATGACCTACTTGCGAATTAATTTGGTCAAGAAATTTCGTAATTTCTGCACGTTATGTTCAGCCGTTGTTCTTACGACATTTTTTGTCGATCGCCACTAGACTCTCTCTGAGGGACTGGGTACGGGATGAGTGGAAACAAGGACGGCTGGGGGTCTAGGTGTCATCGCAGGCTGCCCACATAGGAAGAACCGCAAAATTTTAACCAGCTTTGAGTTTACTTGCGTTTATGCGATGCGTGGTCCCTTTCTCTGTGGTTTTCCTCAAGCCACAACGGTCATCAACAGTGTTGAGGACAACGCTGGTGAAACAAGCCAAGCTGCTCTTAAGGATGAGAACAATCAAGAATCAAAATTCGATACTCTTCAGACTTTCGATAGTCATGAGACCTACCATAATTCTTCCGCTGTGAGAGTGTTTTTGTCTCGAATTAACATTGATCTCACGCTATATCGGATGAACACTAAGCAGAAAGAAGGACATTTTTGAAACGTAATTAGACACTTCCACAAAATTTCTTCCCCAAAAAAATATGAAATATGTTAATGATGGCTTTAGGACTAGTTCATAAATTGTCTACACTTTACCATTAAGATGATTAGTTTGTATTTAAATTTATAGTTTCTGTTATTTTTGGACAAGGTAATCTCGTTCTTTTTCTATTTTCTCCTCTCTCTGAGATACTTACGCTCTAGCGCTTCTCCTCGATCCCAATAGAAATTATTTTTTTTATGACTGCTGTTACTAAATTTCCTCTCTCAGATTCCAGTGTCATGTCAGGTATTTCTTTTCGTGTTTGTGTCATATGACCATCACAACATGATTCCATAAATCACAAGATAGTGGTAAAGACTGATTTTAGATAGATTCCAGTATCCTGCACATACCCTAGATATAATTCTTAATCTATAATTATGAATGAAATATATACTTCCGTGAGGAAAGGTATTTCATTTCGCGCGAGCAGAAAATTCTCATGTTTCCAAGAGAATAAAAAATATTCTCTCCTTCACTTTTCGATTAGTGGATAGTGCAATTCAATCAAAAGACGGACGTGACCACAAATTGTATCATATTATCTTGCGCGCGTGATATGTCACAATATCAGATGAAGACAAATACATTTTTTTTAGAAATCACAACACGAATTGATTGTCTTTAGAATACCCGTCATGGCTCGCCATGTGGAAGATGTGGTGACCTTCAATCAGATGTTCTTTTTTTATTTGTGTAGTGCCCCCGACGAAATATCCTTGGAATGCCTGATAGCGGGTTGAAGACGCAGTGTCTTAATACCGTAAGACTGTCATGCAGGATCACCATTTTTTGTAATCACGCTTGAGCAATACGTTTCCTCTCGCAGTGCCTTGATCAAATAGCTTGCGTCATATTGCCAAGGAAGCATCACGGAAAGCTAACGTTAGGGACCAGGGAAAGAGGACTGGGGAGAGGAAATAGACCTCTAAGGACCAAAATCCTGTCCAGGGGAGGGTGTGCCCACGCTCCTCGGCGCCTTGCGTTCTAAAACCGAGATAAGTTTTGGCAAGCTGCGCCCTTGATCGTCAATTTTCCGGACTTTCGGAAATATTAAAAATGCATCGATATGAAATTGTTAGGAGCCATATTTCTCACACTCAATAATCATCCGTGTCCACTTTGACTTAGCATCAATTATTCTCTTGCCTAGCTCTAATCAGTTGGAGGCATTTCATTTATTTTCTTATCTGTTTTATGTTATTTACAATTGAATATTGTGTTCGTATAAATCACGGGCTAAGTCACGTGATCATGAGTAAACAACTTTTCACTTATGAATTCTAAGAATGACCAAAACAGAATTTCTCCTTACAATATCAATACAATATCAATCAATGAAGTTTTGAGAATGAAAAAAGATATCAACAAAGGATCTTTAGGTGATGCAATGCCAAATTCTCCTAACAATCATCATAAAAAACCCAGTTAAATGGCCAAACGTGCTACGAGTCTCCTTGAGCTCAGTGCCTTCCTATTACGACGACCCGGAGTTCCTTTTTTTCTCGGAGTATGCCTTTGTCGTTTATTGAGAAATATCTCCTTTTACATCATAAGAATTGTATGGTAGACGTACTATTTAAAAAAATGAGTGCGAGGGTTTCAACATGGTTTCCAAACACGAGAAAACTGATAAAAGCACGAGGCCGCAGACCGAGGGCGTTTATTGTTTTCGTGTGTTGATGATGACGAGTGTTGATTTTTTCCATGATGAAACCTGATGCACGAGTTTTTTGAAACAGCTTATTAATCGCGTCTCAGGAATACAAGAAAATACAAATATTCACGAATTGTTCACATGTTGTCGGCAAGTTTGTTGTCACGAAAAATTGTATTATTGTGGTGATTTGTCTTTTCAGAAAGGGTGTGATGATAAAATCAAGGTTTAATTTGGAATTCTTCACTCTCTTCTGCAATGACCTTATCGTGATGATGTTTTCTTTAGAAAATGTATTGTTACCTCTCATTAGAAAGGGTGTTGATAAAGGTTGTTTGTTCATGTTGGTGTCTTTGTTTTAAATATTCAAATACGTGTTCTCAATATTCAAATTAAGAAATGATTTCACTGGAGTACGATACATTATCAAACTCAAGGGTTTGATGTCATACGAAACTCACGAATATTGCGTCATTCCAGTGTTTCACCGGGGTCTCAAACCACTTGCATGTGACGAAATTGGCATGTCATGGTTGGTTGATCACCATATGAATAATTTATGTATTTGAGAAAGTAAGGAGAGTTACTGATGAGCTCTTGGGGGTGAAAGGGTATGTGATGTACACCAAAAGTTATTTGTTTGGTAAGACTAAAATACTTCTGTGGAAAGATTAAAACAAAGAGGATCGATGATGGTCGAGGAGACAGGAAATCGGAACAGAATATAGCAGTCGACTTCAAAAAAATTAGGCGATACCTTTCGAGTTCGACAAAGCGTAACTATTAACATAAATATTTTCAACGCTTGAGTCATGGTCTCTGTTTCGGGTTCCGGGAGGTGGCTGTTGTGATTATTTTGGTTAACAGTTTTACCCCGACAATCAATCGAAAAGTTCTCCATGTTATTATTGATGCTTACTCCTTGACAAGTCAATGATTCTCTCACGCTTTCGACAGTATGGAAGAAAACCAAAATCCAACCCACACATGAGAAAAGAAGGAACTTACAGGAAAATATTCAGCCAAATCATAGACATATTACCGTACCGTGACTTAGGCAAATTCATATGCAGGTTAAGGACGTAAGAAGACCAAAGACAATTTGATGGAAAGGATAATGACCAGAAGTGGGTTGTTCACATTTCCTCCTGTACCACGTGTTTCAATCAGCTCTCTCTAAACTCTCTCTATGATACCCAAAGTTCACTGACAGCAGTCCCAGCCATTTTTCCACACTCCTTGTGACTCAAAGCCTATAACGATGCTGTAAATCTGAAAAGAGACGTCAGTATATACCCAAAGTCAAGCCCAATTACACGAGGTCACATTTTAACTAGACTAAACACCAGATGTTTCTTGTTTTGTTCAGCCCGTGATGAAGATAGTTGTATGACAGTGAGACTGTTAAGATTCTTTTCTTCAGTCAAGATTGCTAATCAGCATTTGATTCCCAGCAGCCTTTCGTTATAGTTCTTTTATCATAAACTGTGACTGTAAAATATTTAGTTCTAAGCTATCCCTACAGGATCCCTATCTTTAAAGAATTCTGTGTCGGTCGGACGAAACGCTTTGGAGTGAAATCTTATTCTCACAGCCAGAACTTAGCAGTGCTGCTCGCTGAGTTAGTCCCTTCGTGTGTACCGATCCCTAATACTACAAAGCTGGCAAAAACTCACATCACAAGGTGACCTGTAAAGTGTTTCCAGAGAAAATTCTGTTCTGTCCTAATGTTTTGAAAGGGAATTGATGGACCTGTACATGTAAGTATTGTTTACATATGAAAAACACCCTATTTATACCCACCTTGGCTTGACACAATTTGATTTTTGACGAAGAATATCTGAGAGATTTTACGACTAAAATTAGCTAGCTTTCTTTAGGGATTGACGGTAAAAAATCGTATGTTCACGACGGTGAATTTTTTGCCATTTGACGGTTCACGACTAACCCCACTGAGACCCTCAGATACGACATTACATTGGGCTGGACTTATTCACAACCGCTGACCAGGATATGAACGCGTGCCTCAAATCCGAATATGGTTATTAAACTAGCCACCGTGAATGGTTGTCGAGACTCTTTGTTTGAAAATACAGCATAATATGTAAATTGATAATTAGAATTTGATTCCCGGAGGCCTTTAAAAACATGATTTCAATTAAAACTTTGAGAGAGAAACTAACATTTTTCTGTTCAACTTTGGACGCTTCGCTAGGCACAAAACTAAAACTTCAGAAAAAGTCTTTGTCAGTAAATTTCATATGATAAAAAGAAATGTCGACTTCTTACTTTATCAAGGTGTGCACGGCTGTTTATATCTCTATTCAGTCAGTTTTGCATGTTTTAAAATTTACACGCATGAAAAGACAGCATCTCGCTCTTCGCGTTTTTAATTTGTTGCTGTCGAACAAAGAGCATCCAGACTGAAGCCCGAACGAAAAACCAAGAAGAGTGTCGATAGTTTCGGTAAGCTTGCGAAGCTTTGGTCGTTGTTCATAATTTGTTTGTATTTCATGAGTTTTTCACTGGTAAGTGAAAATTAGTCGGCTAATCGCTGCTACCTAACTATAAAGGTATTGTCTACCTTCGGATAAAGGCACGGCATAATAATTTTATTGATGTTGCTTAACGATAATTTCGTTTCCAGCAGTGGTAATCATGGTAATTGCTGTCGATCGGACGCAGTTTTAAATCAAGGGGAAAACTGAGTTTTTTCCTATCGATCAATGATATTCAGCGTTAGAATGATTCGAAACATTCGATAAAAATTTAATGGAATTTTACTATAAGGAGCGTAAATTATTATTGTAGTACAATGTTTCCGTAGTTCACAACTGCAAGAGAATACGAAGTCTTATCAATAACCGTATAAGTTTTGTTTATTCATTTTTCTTGTGCAAACAGCGATGAATGTACATCTTTGTAAACACTGAAGAATCTCTTTTTGTTGCGGCTTCCTGGGTTTACTTCAGTTAATTGAATTTTTATCCATTTTTTCCACGCGGTCAGTGTAAACGATCTGTGTTCTTATTTTTATGAACAAAACAACTTGCGTTAACCTATTTACATCGAAGAAAAGAGAGTGCCTCGGGTGTAATTCGGGAACTACCTTTATTTTCCTTTCATTAGCGCCTTGCCGTAGAGGAAAGGAAAGGCGAAATTAGTAAAAAAGCGTGTTTAGTCTGATGATAATTTCTACAGAGTTCTTCTTTCTTCTCTGTTGAGTATCCATTAAGCTCGAGACTTCGTTTCGTAAAATATCCCGCAGTAATGATGAATCAAACTGTGATCGCTAGCGAGGAAACCACGAAAAAAGCAGAAAAAAGAAAACAAAGCCTGAGGCATATATTTTCATTAGAGAAATTTCTTTGTGAATAAGACACCGTTAGAACAAGCGACGAAATAGCAGTTTTTTTTTCCAAATGCACGACATTCGTTTTACCCTTAGCTCAAACAGAATGGTCTTTTACAGTTATCAGTCACACGTCAAACAGAAATTCAAGTTTTCGGAAGATTGCGTGTCTGTTAGATAAAAAATTTTAAAGGAAAATTCAACTTTAAGGCAACGATGTTTGTGCAAGGAAATAATCATAAATGTGTTCAGTTGAAGTACATCAATTCTCTGATAAAACGGCCTCTGTTTATTTCTAAAAGCACCAGCGGGAACACGCTTTTTTTGGTCAACATACCACAGAGTTTATTGAACAGAGTCAATTAAATTACATTTTAGCCCAGAATCGCGCTCTCCTTGAAAAATTTTTGCATACAGTTATTTATTCAGTTAGTTTTAGTACTCTTTTACACTCACGGTAAAAAGATTTTATTTTCTCGAATTACAAATGTCCTTTTCAAACCGGTTGAATGAACGTGAGAATGATTGGTGTATAAGGATATCAAAAGTAACAAGAAAACATTACCATAAAGCTTACAAAATTTATTTAAATTTTTGTCGAAGAAATGAGAAAATCAACAGCTGTGGCACAGCTGTTCTCACGCAAACAATGAAAAAATCGCCCATCTGTCTTATCGAGCTCATGGCACCCCACAGAAACAATTGAATGGCCGGATCATTGGTTCGATTCTAATTAGGAATATGATATTTTGTGCAGAACTTCTTTTAAGGAAACGTTCCCAGGAAATGAGTTGAATGATGCTTTGTTTAAATGCGCGAATAATTTATTACGCTATAAGTGCAAGGAGTTGATCAGGAATAACTCTGTCTTTGTGACCGACTAGACTGAATTACCGCCATTTTTCCGTTCGACGCAAGTGAGTCGCTCGTCCGTTTTGATACCTTGACATTTTGTTGGCTTTTTTAATCGTTTACTCTGTAAACACATTTGGTTATGAACTAGATTCTCAAACCGTCGGGAAAAACTTCATTGTGGTTTCGTTATTAACAGGTACGTTTGGCTTTTGATAATAATTTAATTCATTTTCTACCGCTGAGGAGAATTAAAACAAAATTTGCCACTTTCGGTCGTTTTAATCATGAAAACTGTAAGCGAAGACAGGTAGTCGTTTTAACGAAACTATGGCCAATTTACCAGGCTAGGGTAAACACAAAGTTTGTTTAGCGAATACTGCACGCATAAACGACCGAGTCGTCAAAAGGTTAATTATCTACCTTGTTAAACGGAAATTATATTTGGTTGCCCTTCGCTCATATCCATTCACACGACATCAACTTCGAGATTTGTAGGAGCAGCGACTATGGACCAAAAATAATTTCTCAGCATCGAAAGTTAAGGAAACCTGAAATGCAATTGCCGACTTTGATTTGTATCCAAATAGCCTTTTTATAACACCTGCTGATGAAAATTCAAAAGAGCTTGTACAGAGCCTGATATGTTTACTCGGCTTCGCATCAGGTAGGAAAAGTTAACTTCTGACTGCCGGTATCAGTTGAAATTTTTAACATTAAAGCTTTGGAAGGAACATCATACAGAATCAATATCAAATCGATTTGAAATTCCTTTTTAGAAAACTATTTCTCCTTTCTAGAAATAACAAAAACGAGACTTCGTAGACATGTGCGATTTTCCCAGAAATGATGTATGCATATTTAATTATGTAATAGAAAAAATTGTGTTTAATTTCAACACCCAATTTACTTGGGAACGCAAAGAAAAATATGGGGCGCGTTTAGGTCTTCATAAAGATCAACCTAACAAGTTGAAAAGTGAAAAAGCACTTTTTAAAGACGTTTTACGATTATTTCGCATTGCAATTTACTACCTCAATGCTCGCTGTGTAGTGAATACTAAAACAAAATGTAAATAAAAATGTAGTTTAATATACTCATGTTGCTATTTTGAGCTTTGGAAAAGTTTGACTGACTAGGTCTTTAGCGAAGCGGCCGTACGTCCGACTAACATTTAGCAATGTCTTATTGACTGTTACGGCATATCAGCTTGTTTTGCTCTTAATGTTGCAGTTATCATCTCGTCTTCACAAAACGAGATAGGTTCATTTAACATCCCTCATGGTTGTTCAAAGAGAAGTAGAACACAGCCTGAGAGAGTCTTTGAGATAAATAAAATCTAACTGCAAGTTAAAAACAGTACAACTAACTTTAACACTGGATCGTTTTCAGCAGAATCAAGAGGATAGCGAAAGATGGAAAAGTCCTATGCAAGTAATCGTATCTGTGCCATTTGCGGGGATCGTTCATCAGGATTTCATTATGGCGTACAGAGCTGTGAAGGCTGCAAAAGTTTCTTCAAGCGAACCGTCCAGAAGCAACTTCATTACACATGCGTAGAGAACATGTCATGCCAGATAGACAAGAATAACCGTATTCGATGCCAGTTTTGCAGGTTCCAGAAGTGTTTATCCTTGGGCATGCTGAAAGAAGGTAGATAATAAAGAAAACTTGAGAACTTTTCGTTTCATTTGGTAAATAGCTTGTCCAGTTTTTGAAAGCGAGATCTTTTCACATTTTACTCTTTTCTGATACGATTAAAAAAATAAGAGTAGATAAGTGGACTGTGTCTATAGCAACCTGCTTCGAAAATCGATAACTCAAAGTAATGAAAGGACAAACCCGATATATCGCTCGATAATCGGTTTCTATGTCGGTCGATAGTCGGCCGGTTCTTGATTTACAGTCGACTAACAGTCGATGAAAGTCGGGCGATGGTCGCCAACACCTAAACGATAATCGGTTGATGTTTTGAACGAAACTTCGGCCGATCAATTGACGAAAGCCACAGCATAGAAGATTCAAAGTAAGAACGTAGAAAAAGCAAGTCATGCGAAGCTTCTTCATGAATGAACAAAATTTTAAGTCTACTTTCATTAAACAAAAATTGATACAAATCATAACTGGTAAGAAATTTAATGTTAAAAGCTAATTTTTTTCGTTTTTCTCACGATGTAGTCACGTGTGATGTAGATCGCGACGTTTCGACTGCATACTGCTAGTCTTCTTCAGGCGATAGGTCGACTGGTCATGTGTGATCCTATAAAGCATGATGCTCTGCTGTGATTAGTTGTTATTTAACAGCTCTGATTGGTGCATTTCGATCCTTGCTGTTCAATCAGTGATCTGCTCCCTCGGCGGACCGCTGTCGCACGGCTCTCCTGTTGTTGTGTTTTTTGATCGCGGGCATCCACGCTTCTGGAATTTCTATTCCACTATCCCTGTTGATGTTGTTAGGGTGAAGTCTTATATGAATTGCCTCTTTGACCCTACGCGTGTAGTAATAAGGGTCACGATTAATAAACTTTACTTCGTTCCAGAATGGCTTGTTTCCGGTGTTGTCATGTTGTTGTGGGCATGCTCTGAAACGGCGGAGGTCTCGGGCGAGTCGAATGCCTCGATCGTGCTCCTTAATTCTGTCTTGCATAGGTCTTCCAGTCTCTCCGATATACACCTTGCTGTATTCACAGGAAATCCTGTAAACTACGCCATCTTGTTTAGCCGGGTCGACAACATCTTTTGGTCGTACTAACCGAGATCTTAGCGTAGTCTCCGACATGAAAACAGCGCCTTGTTGTTGTAGGCAACGGCGAAGCTGTTCGGACAGACCTTTGACATAAGGTAAAACCGCAGTAGCTTTGAACTCGTTAGCGGGTTCGGCACTGTTGTTTGGTTTTCCGGTATTGGTAAGTTTCTGCAAGAAAGAAAAAGGATAACCATTAGAAACCAGAACAGATGTCAAATGTTTTTTCTCCTCGAAGATGACGGAGGGTTTTTTTACGAGACGTTTGGCGCGCTCGTAAAGCCACTTAACAATACTGCGTTTCACTGATTGAGGGTGGTGTGAATCATACACTAAGTATTGATAGGTTCGCGTGGACTTCCTGTATACGCTGGTGGTGAGGGGGCCGTCAGGTTCTCTTAAAACTGCGGTGTCTAAGGAAGGCGAGTTTGTTTTCTTTCTCTGTCTCCATGGTGAAGCGGATGAAGGCTGATCTGTGCAGGCGTTAGCGTGGTGCGGTCTACAAGGCCTGGCGGTCGCGCTCGTAGATCTTTAGGAACAACGCGGTTCTTGATGCACCTTGTTAGGAAGGTGAGATGGTTGGTGTAGCTTGCGAGCTTGCTCGAGCAGCGCTCATGTCGACGAATCAACCTTAGGGCTGCGTGTTGGAAAATGAAAACCATGTAGATAGGTCACATCTACATGATCAAGAGAACATCAGCTTTTATTACATTTTTAACTCCGGATATTCCGATTAGTTCACACAACTACGAGTATCAGCTCATATTCCCAGTCATCTTATAAGAGAATGCACTGCGACGTGTTGGAAAATGAAAACCTTTGCCGAAAACATTCAAACGTTCAGGATTAAATGAAATTTAATAAAATTAATATATAGATTTAGCCAAGCCTACAAGCGGAGCTCGCATTTTTTTTTCCCGCACGTCTCAAGGGCACAACGCCTTGCCCCGGCCAGGACTAGAACCCCGGTCGTCCGACTCGGACCCCAGTGCACTGACCACTGGACTACAGGAAAAAGCCGTGGCGTTGGCGTGCCTGCGGTACAGTTGACCACGCATGTTAAAAGTAGCACCTTGTACGGTCGTACGGTCGCACATCCAAATCTTTTCAGCTTGATGGGTTACTACTATTTTGTATAATTATGGGGCTATGCTCTGCGAGCTCCGCTATTATTCCATTGGTGCTTATTGGATACACAGATTGGTTATCGCCTGGCTATTTACCATCTTATAGTCAGCGCGCACTCATGGAATAATTGTCACGTATTCTCTTGACATGACCTAATCTATTATTTTTGAAAAAGACTTAAAATAAAGATACCGAGAGAAGCAAATCAAAGTGGAATTCTGTTTTTGTTTCACCATTAGCTGTCCGAGAGGACCGAGCACCCGGCGGCAGACCAAGGATCAAGTCCCTGATCGGAATGAAGGAGAATGCGGACACATTCGTTTCGTCTGAGTTAATCACGCAATTGATCCAAGCACGCCCTGATGCTACTCCCAAAAGAAGGTTGGTTGGCTTCAACTTTGCTTGCTAGTATGGCGAGAGTTAAATGCTTTATTTCTTAGTCGTTCAGGCAGTGAATAGAGCGCTTTTCGATTGAGTGACATAAACCAAAACCCTGGTAATCACAATGAGAGTCAAGAAACAATGAAGAAACTCGATGAGAAGTCAAAGTAATAAGTAAATTTTCTAAAGCCCGAGAGGACGTAGGCGACCAAGTCGTGATTCGTTTCAGTTTCGCACCTGATTGGTTGGGAGAGTGGCGCAAGTTTTCTGCACTTATCACAGAGCTAAGTAAAGCAAACCCAATGCAATTCCGAATTGTTCTCGACACCAAAACAAAATTTTCCAAACACAGGGCGTGAAATTTTTTTTTTTTCTGATAGCCACTTGGCTCCTAAACTCTTCAAAGTGGTAGCCAATTCAAAAAAAGTTGGTCGCCATTTTCAAAGACAAACAAAATCTTTCTTTACGCTGTCAGCGTTCTAGATAAGCCCTCCAAAATTAAGTTAGGGAAAAGATCTTTAACGTGCTACAAAGTGGACACTAGGAAGGATGATATACAACGTTCAGACTTATCTAAATCCAAGATGGCGTCTAGTTATCGATCGAGATGCATGTGCTACGTTTTGGAAACAAACTTAACGAGGAAGTTTGCCGCGAATTTATCTTTGCAAATTTTTTAAATTCTCTATATCTCTTGGTAAGTTTGTAATGAAACGTTCTAGTCGCCAATTTGGCGACTAACTTTCAGGATTTGGTCGCCAAAGTGAAAAATTTAGTCGCATTGGCGCCTGTATTAAGCGCAATTTCACGCCCTGAAACACTAAGGTCTTGGAAAACAGTTTCATTTTATGCACCTTTTTCACAAGGAAAAACGGATTCGTAATGTTTGAATAGTCTGAAAAAGGCTATTATCCTGGGCATTATCTATGTAAACGTTACTGATTTCTAAACTCAATTTTCTATGGTCAGTCTTACATTTCTACACACGCATGGTGGTGGAAATTGACGTATCCCAAGGCTTTCGTCACAGGACTCTTTCTCTATCCTATAATTTTCTCTTGGCTGTATTGATTACCAGGCATCGCTTTCTATCAAGCGTACTTTGATTTTCTATCGAGTAAGTTCAATTAAAATTAAAATTAGAGGAAAGTGTGTTCTATTTCTAATCGAATTTTCCGAGGGTAATCGATATAGATTTAACTGAGGAAGGAAGGGTTAGGCTTCTAATAGTCTGTCACATTATTTACTTTTTGTTTCAGACCGGACTATCTAGAGCTCGGTTTTACCGAGATTTGCCCTTTGAACCCTGTAGAAGTAGTGATGGAGCTGGTACTGCAAGAAGTGGACTTAATATTGGCCTGGGCCTTCAAAGTTCCCGGATTTAGAGAACTTAACAGAGAGGATCAGGCAAGCCTCGTTTCCACAGGTATTAAAAGTAGCTTTTGTTTGACAAATTTGTTCATGGACATCACCTGTACCACTGAAGAAGCGAACAGCCTTCCGCAAGCAAGGCACCCGGAGAACTACGATCTTTGCGCAGGAAGTGACTTATGCAAGGAGAAATATCGCAATTTAATTCCTTTTTTCTTTTTGTAGCTTTATTAGAGCTGTTGGTCCTCCGCGTATGTCAGCGGTCCAGTGCACACCAGGGCTCAGTGCTGCTAGCAAAAGATGTGCTTCTTACTCCTGAGCACTCTTTTAATCTGGTCCTGGAACAATGGTCATCACAGTTGGCTTGTTTTGCTTACAAGTTACAAAGCTTGCAACTCGACATGGCAGAATTTGCTTGCGTAAATGCCATTATGCTCTTTGAGCAAGGTGAGTTATCCCACAATTAACGAGGGGATAAATAGGGGTATGCAAACCCTCAGACCTACTATAATTCAATGAGCAAATCCGTTTAGAAAATATCTAACCCTAATCCGTTTGAATTTGTGAAAAACGTCAAGGAACCAACTAGCACGCACAAAACCGATGAAGCCTCTGTCAATTCGATGAAGCTTTTGGGTTTCAACGAAAATTTATGGGGTTCGCTGAATTTAGGGAATCTTACACATTATTGCTACCCTAAGATTACCCAATCTAACAACTATCCAGAAACCTTTGCACGGGAACTGTTACTCCTTTATTTATGATGATATCTGTTGCTTCAAATTACATCATCTCCTTTTCACAGAGACGAGCTCAGGACTAAAAAACCGGGAGATGGTGGACTTCATTCTCAATCGTTCCCTTGATGCTTTGCGAGACTACATTAAGTGTTCATATCCCGACAAGCCCAGCCGTTTTGCCCACATTTTGCTCCGACTTCCAACACTGCGCAGCGTCTGTTCTAGAATGTCGAATGAGAGTCTGTTTGCGCAGTCATTTCTCAACATGGCGGTCCCTCAAGTGTTGTCGTTTATTCTAGAAACGAAAACTTAGCTGAGTACGTCATAAAACTGAAAATTCGTCACATTTTGTTACTATTCACCCGGTACAACACAGCTGATATATGTTATCCTAGAAAAAAAAAATCATATGTCAATAGAGGTCCGCTGTCTGTACTTGTGTCTGTTACAGCTTTTAATATTACATTAATTCATTAATTTTGTTGGATAGGAACTTTACAAAATAAAACATTCACCTTAATGTGAGATGTAAGAACACAAATGAATTATGAAGGTTACAATCACTAGTACTGCCTCAGATGCATAAATTAACATTGACAAAAGCGTTAGGTAAGAATCTTAGGAACCAATGTCAGAGCAGGTATTTAGCATTGAGAAGAAATTACAATAATAATGAATTTAGTGTTGTAACTAACTACTTGTTCTTGTATCATAGTTATTGATGCTTTGTCAACAAAGCGATAAATGATAATTGTTAAACTAAGAATAAAACCGTTCAACCAGGTGACCGCTTGATAAGTTTTATATCCTTTACCCTCTATAACTTGTAAGGCATTAAGAAAATTATCATAACCAACCTGGGCCAAAACAGCTTCCCTCCCCTCCCCTCGCCCAAACTTAAACAATGCGAAATGAACTATTATACCATGCCAGACCTAAGTTAGAAGGAAATTAGAACCGAATCGTGCTATAGAAAACATTTTCAGTGTCTCTACGGAAAAAATTAACCCATCTAATAGCAGTCTGTAATCGGTAACCTGCTGGTACTTTAAGAAATTGCGGGGTAGTTTGCAAGAGAAACTTCTATTGATTTTTTATACTTTGTCCAAAGGCCCACATCTGACGCATTAATGTTTCATAGAATCTTTATTATTATCGTTTTAAAATTTTCAAATTTAGGTCTTCCAAAGAGGCAGCTAGCAAACGGTACTTTACAAGTCTGAAATGGAAATGTTCTCTGTATCAAGCACAGAACCGTAATTTGTACCAATCTCGACAATCTTAGAAAAGAGTTTATTTGTTAGAGCAGGTTTCTCGTCGCTTAGAAAACGTCCATTCGACAGCATTTGTGAAATGTTTCTAAATAATTAAAAAGACGTGAAAGGAGAAAAGGCTTCGGCAAAATTAAATCGCATTTTCGGAGAAAGTAGGGTAGAAAATCGTTTGAATCAAGTTGTGATAAAATTTGTCTAAACTTATTTTCTCTCTAGAAAAAGTTGAAAAGCACAATGAAGAGCAAAAGACCGAAAAAATCACGTAAAAGACAGTATTAAGTTACCGTAGAATAAACTTGATATTCAGCTGTTTAAAGTGTCTTGGGATCTTTATGTAAATTTCTGATATAACAAACATTGTCAAAAGACCCTCCTAGCGAGATTGCTCGCTCGATTGAGATAGCGTGTAATTAATCGCGTAAAATTAAGAGGTGGTTGAGGAAAAAAAAAACACGTAAACGTTGTTTTCTTTGTTTAAGAAGAAACTTTCGGATCCGAAGCTCCAAGTTTTTATTCGTTTGTTCATACCTAAATCAGTTTGTTTAAAGCAACATATTTAGTTGATCCTATCAAATTCTGCGGGTGGTCTGATCTGCAATTCATGTTATTCTTCGCCGACTGACGTTGTTGATCCCCGCTCAGCGATACAAATAGAAGCTTCTTTGCCAAGGTAAGTTGCCTTACATTGAGTTTTTTGAAAAGTATCATATGCAGAATGTTCAGAAAAAAACTACATACTTTATTTCGGCTGTTTTAAAGGTGGACATAGGTCAGACGGGTATCCTTCAACATGAAATTTAGGGTTTGAACCGATGCTCATTGGTCTCCAATGTGTATTCATTTTATAAATATGATGATATTTCTGACTGTGAAGCCTGATGAGAAATGGCAACAGTTTTGCTTGACATCTACGTAAGCATTTTTTCATGATACTTTCTCTAAAATCTAACCAAAAAATATTCGAATCAAGGTCGTTAAGCCAAAATTAACGCCTTGCAGATCCGTAATGAGTTCTTGTCGGTTCGGAATCGTGCCTCGTCAAAACCCAACGCAAAAGTGGTGTGAACAGCGCATAAAGTTTCTTAAATTATACCTTACATCAGACTAGTCTCCTGAGAATTAGCTGAGCATTTTTCCTTTTATATTGTGACTATTTTTTTTCCTTTGATTGTTCCATCCACTGGAATATACATCGGACCTGCCTTATTCTATGAATCATTCATCCCTCTTGAAAGAAACATATACACATTAATTTCTAGACAGGTCATATTTTTTCACAGCTTATTGAATCTCTATAAGAAATTATCTTTGGCCGCTATCTTCAATCCTCAGGTAAAATTCTTGTCTCGTTAATTACTTAGCATTTACTTTAAACTTTCATTGAATGTTCTACATTTACTACACCCCTTCACATTTAATCAACAAATAGTATATGAAAGAGTCTGTAATTTTTGAAAGAAAGAGTGTGAAGGCAATATAACCTCCAAGACTTTACAAAGAAGTTTGACGCCATTAAGTTACATTACTTTACAGACTTATCAATATTCGAAAAGAAGAACAAAACTGGTAAAAGCATCCGTTACTGTGTCGATAGACCCCATGTCGATCGATTTGAAAGTTTCGCTGTGATTGACGGACTGGGTAATGGATTAATAAAACACACATGCTTTCTATTTTCATCAAAATTTTACACAAATTAACCCATTTTATGTTTAACATTAAGTTTCAAGTATGTTCGGAGCTGAAGTTTAGTGATAAGAATTTATCTTTCAATGTTCTCTAACACGAGTCTTTTTATAAAATAGTCCACACTCTATATAAACGCACGTGTTACGTAATAGATTTATGTAAGTGACACAAAATTGTAGCATATGGGTTGTGAAAAGCTGCACATAAAAATTAGACTTGCAAATTGAAGGCTTGAGTCTCCACCAAATAGCTTTCACAGAATACCTTCTTGTTAATGAAGGGTGGTGACTTGTATCAAAGTTTACGTGGTGTCAAAACAGATATATTCCTTATAATTAGGCTAATCATAGAATAGAGGTAAGACCTACGTAATCAATCTCTATTTGTCTAAGAGCTTAAATGGAATGATGTTCCAGCTGATGTTAATCATCTCTGGAGTCATCAGTTCTGCGGAGAACAAAAAAAGGAAACATGGTTTTCTTAACCTTCAAGTTCATTTGCGTCGTGGATTTGGCCAACCTTTAATTCTAAGTAGAGAATTAATTACAAAGATTTGATCTTCACGAGTTAAGACCTCAAAATAACAGCTTTTCGAGCGGAATTATCATCCACCAACGCAGGCGTTTAGAGCACCGCAACTAACGTCACCAAACACTCAATGATATACCTTACGGTTATTTTTTACCATAATACTAATTGGCTGTACAATTTCTCATTGTCCGTTATCTCTGAGGCAAGTACCTTGAGCCATGTTTACATTTTTTTATAAAAGAACGGGAAGTTTTTCCCGAAGACATTTTCCTTGTGCTTGGCTCATATTTCAGTAACTGAATGAAACCTAAAACAAAAGAGGATCTGATGACTTTCAGTCGGTAGTTGTTTAACCATTGACTTTAAAATGAAACATTAGAAGGACCACAAATTTCACGGGATTGTTTGCATTAATGTGACAGTCGTCAACTTGGCGTTATTTGAAACAGCGAATAATAGTTATGTATTATAATTGCACTATCCTTAGATGACGACAATGAGAGTCACTTACAAACAACAGGTGCAAGTTACTTAAATGTATAAGTTTTGTCCCCTGAACGAGTCTTGAGTAGAAGCATCATTTATGAGCCATTCACGCCATTTTTGAACCATGTTTGGTAGCCAAAAGATCCCATGTCATGAACGAGCGTGAGATAAAGACGATATCATGGCGACTTGTGTTATTCAGAGATGGTAATTCGTGGTTATTTATTTCGTACAGATCGAAGCAAGTTCATTTCTATTGAGACGAAACGTTAAACTGGAGTAACCAGCAAGTTTTATTGAAGGACAAGTCACAGATTAAGGTAACTGATCAAAATTATAGTCGGGATCACCGCCGTTTTAAATGTTACTTCTCTTTATACAACCGTTTTTTTACCTTCCTTCTTCGGCAAAGAACTATCCTATCAAAATATTTCATCCAATCGCTCTGGCGAATGGCTAACACCCGAAATGCCAGCTTTTAAACTCTTAACGGTGGCCAATTTACGTTTTCAACTCAGTTCATAACACTAAATCACCCTCAATAAATTTAGTTTGGTCCTTTCAGGCTCACTTTGACACGCCACTGACTTTATGAACATATAGCTGAAGTAGATTATTTCAATATTTCAAAGTGTCCGCTTTGCCACCATTGGTAAAGCTAGATTATGAAGCAAAAGTAGAATTTGTGAAAATAACACTCATGACTGGTAATTGAAAAAGAAGAAATAGGTGAAAAAAAAAAAACTATTGTATTACTGACAACTATCTGTCTGTTTGTTCTTTTCATTTCCATGTTCATATTAAAAACCGAATTAATGAGGCGAGGAAGAAGAAACTCAATTATTGGATTTGATTATGAAGACTGACACTTATGCTGGACCACATAGAAGCTAAATAAAAGCACGGATAGGTTTAGTAGATGCTATAGAATTATCAACCTACCAGTAATCTACCTCAAAATGTTAGAAAAAGTGAGAATATTTTCTCCGTTGTTTGGTGTTCTGCTGCTCAACCAGAAAACTGCACAAATTTGTTCTCAAAAGTCATTATAGCAAATCATCTCATACCTCAAAATTTTCTCCTCGCAAAACACTCAAAAGAAGTCCCGAAATCAGTGCTCGCATAGTTTTCATCCTACACGGCAGGTTACCAAATAAACAGGGAAGACTGTAAGCACTTTGACCCTGCTCCTAAATCAAGATATCGTTTTCATTATTTTGTCTTATTCTCTGTTTAGAGTAAAGACACTTCTTGACTTATGGATCAATACCAGTTCAACCTGTTTAACCAAACGTGCTGGAACTGTTCCACTAGTTTACCTGAACAAACAACTCCGGGATATACTCGAGCCAGTGAACTCTTAACTAAAAATGAAGCGATCATTCTCTCCATAATCTGCGCCTTGGCCAGTGTGATTGGAACCTTTGGAAACTCTCTCGTCCTTCTTGCCGTGCCCAGCAACAAAAATCTTCGCACGATTCCCGATCTTTTCATCACAAACCTAGCGTTCTCAGACTTCACAGTCTGTGCAATTTTTTTACCCATGTTTGTATACGACTTCAATCAAAGCGTGGCTGAAAAATCGGAAGCCGAACTAGAAAACTTCGACCAGGTGAAAAGTTTCTTGGGGCATACCTCCATGGTTGCATCCGCCACTAATATGTTTGCGGTGACAGTTGATCGCGTCACTGCAATCAGATTCCCATTCAGGTACGCATTCATGGCGACCAAACATGCATTAGCAGGTATTCTGGTTGTCTGGATAATTTCTATCACATTCGGTGTCCTTTACGCACCTAATTTGGTGCCCAGAATGTACATTGCCCTCTACTGCTCAGCTTTATTGATCACAACAATGATCATGTATGTCTACATCTTCATTGCCGCTAAACGCCAGGAAAACAGAATTCATAGCATGCAGATGGGAACAGATGGCGTCTTAGTAGAAAAGAAGGTAGCTAAGACCATTTTCACGGTGGTCGGAGTGTATGCGTTGTGTTGGTTACCTTTGCTCATGCTTCCAGCCATCATCGATTTTGAATCAAAACCAGATCAGTTTAAGAAAGGCTTCAACTGGGCTCAGTCAGCGCTCGCTTGTAATTCAGCCATAAATCCCTTCATTTATTGCCTGAGATGCACGAAATATCGCACAGCGTTTGGCAAAATACTGCGAATACAAAGGTGGATCGTTCGGCAGTAATCACTGGGCCCAATCACTCGAAATGACATTTGACAATAATAGATTAGTGAGACGGTTAAGTCGTGTGTAGGTGAAAGGAGGAGAAAATGAAAGAGGGGATGTATATTGCAATCGTTCACACCTTCACATCTTCATACCTAACAAATATTTTCACGTACCCCTACAAATATTTTCACAGATTTTTCCAGAGGTGAAAAAAATCTCACGAGGAGGTCGATTCCGCGGCTCGTTCAATGGATCACAGCTTACGATTGCATGACGGCTGCTTGCTTTTATAAATGACTATTTCACAACATTTTATCCTTTTCTCCATCGGCTCAAATTGCAGAGCCAGACTAAAGTTGTAATGCGCTGACTATGTCATTTATCGATGCAACTACTTTGTTTCTAATTATAACTGGCTCGGTACTGTTTTAACAATAGACAATTGATGTCCTTAATGCACTGTAAAAAGTACAAGCGTAATACGTAAAATCGGAAAACTAACCAAATCGCGAGTATCAAATGATACAAAGAATGTGGCAAAGACTTCTGGATTTCTCCGGTTGCTTTCTCGACTAGTTACACTGATTCAACGAGATTACGTACTGCATCAACCAAAAATAACTTAATTTTCATACAGCAACTTCTGCTTACTTAGGCAGTCTTTTCCTTTTGGAAAAAACTGCAATGACAATAGCGTACAGTAATTTCAGTGAACTTTCAAAAGGAAATAAAGCGTTCATTCTCTCGTTGATCGGCTTCTAGGCGTGTATGATCGCACGAGTGGAAAATCTTCAGTGGTACTCGCCTGCAAAACAAAACGTTTCGAACGATACCCAACCTTCTCTTTAGAGACCTGGCTCTTTATGGCTATTATAGGGAGGAGGTTTGACATACGAACGAAAGAAAACATTTTGAACCCTCATAGTCGCCTTTCGGTAATTTTCCTGATCCACACGGCTTATAAACAAAGCAAAGAGGGGTGTGGCAAATAACTTATGTCAAAATTCACTCCTCTTATATGGCGCAAGAGAATATTCTCTTGACGGCGTCAGAGTCAGTCAACTCTGATGATGACTTCCGTTCAGGTTGTCGATACACCACGAACGACCACAGTCCTTTTCAAGTCTCCCCTGACTCAAACAATCAGACTTAACGATCTAACACAATTCGAATTATGTTTTAGGCCTAAAATTCCAAAAAAATCTATGTTTGAGTGCATAAGTGGTTTGAGGCATTCGCTTGTCTATCAAATTGTGACGACACGAATTGAACACGAGAAGATGGAACCCTGTGATACTCAGCAATAAATCATCTCCTTGTCAGCTGCGCATCTGAATAATTTAACGTCAAAAAAATAAACAACATATCCAGTGTAGTTTTAAAGCTGAGGGATTGCTTAACCCTGTAGGTTCTACATGGTACAGTAAGAATGTAAACACACAAACCGAGGGAAGATAGATCCCCTGTGAATAACAGAAGTAGATCATAATTTTGTTACTTGGGCTCCATAATAAAACATTGGCCGAAAATTCAACATCACACCGAATTTAATTTTAATTTGATTGCATAGGTTTGTATCTTCTATAAGACAGAGAAAGGGGCCGAAACCATTTATGAGCCTTGTTAAAGTAAAAATGTCATTACTGTATACGTCACTTTGTTGTCAGCAGCTGCTCGCAAACTTGGTATTAACTTATTATCCTGTTCGCAAAACACGCCATTAACTCACTCTTATTGCTAAACAAAACAGTCCGTTGGTTTTCCGTTTTCTTTCAAATAATAAAAAAAAAACCTAAAAACCCTTGGAACCTTCAAACTCCGTGAGAAGCTGTTAGAGGATAAATCATGATTTTCGCCTTGCACTTAGTGAAACCAATTTTATCTGAAATGGTGAACAATGTTATTAAAAAAGCCATCAAATGAATTCTGCCAATAACAGCTAGAATTAATATCGGCCTGAGCTAACACAATGTGCAGCTGAAACGCGGTGATATGGTTAATTCTGCATATTTTTGTTTGTGTTACATGACAAGTAGTCGTTGAACAAGAGTGCGATTCCAGTTATCGATAGATGCAAAAGGCGAGTTGTTAAATTGATGAGATGAATATTTCGCTATCTTTCAGCTAAGACCGGGAAATTCGCTAAATAAGATTCTATCTCTGATGGCGAGTGAATTATAGTAGCCGTTGTTATTTTTCGACCGGTCGGTTTTTTTTTTTTTTTTTTTTGTTTTTGTTTTTTTGTTTTTCAGTTTTTTCCAATTTACTTAAACGTAAAAGAATAGAGACGTTGTTTATTGACTGAAAGAAACAGAAAAGACTACGGAACATTTGCCGAGGTAAGTTAATTTCGAGTTCGTCTTTGGGAACCTTTTTCAAGGGGATGCATCAGTTTTAGGACCGATGCAGTTGTAAACTGTGAACGAAGATAGAATAGGAATGTAAATTTTTTTTTCGTCATGCATGTGTGTAGTGTTTTCAGATGTAGAAAAATGTCTCTCTTTTACGTTATTTGGAGACCAATAATTTTCACTGCTAATGGAAATATATGTTCGATCGAGTAAATCAATAATTACTTGAACTTTTCTTAGACACGGTATATTTGCCATTTGACAGTGCCACATGGGCTATTGTGCTTTGCTCGATGTCTTTTTCCATGGTTTCGTAGTTTAGAAAATTTTTTCCTTTTTTGCGATTCAGGAACTTTCGTTTCGGGTGGGAACATAGGAACCGTAAAGGAATCTAAATTTATCACTTGAACTTTTCTTAGACACAGTACGAGTGTATTTGCCAATTGACACTACCACAGGGGCTATTGTACTTTGCTCAATGTCTTTCTCCGTGGTTTCGTGGTTTAGAACATATTTTCCTTTTTTTGCGATTCAGAAACTTTCGTTTCAGGTGGGAACATAGGAAATCTAAATTTATCGAACAGGTTTAGAAAAATTGAGAAAAAACGGAAAAAATACGGAAAAGGTTATCATAAATTTTAATTAATTATTTATGATACACAGACCGCAGCTACCAAGGTACAGCTCTTAAAGAAGGACCAGGGGTCTTTACACAAAGAACTATTCCCTTGTTTTTTCAAGGCCCGATAAATAAAAAATAACCGCCTGAAAAAAAATTGGCAACACATGTGATTCAGAAGCTTTAACGCATCAAAAGGGAGGTTGGGCTTACTAAATATTCTAATTCATAGACTAGAGACTTCAGTAAGATCGATTGAATCCTCTTCTTCGGAAAGGCTCTATGAGTAACATTATACAGCAACACCGGAGAGAAAGTTCACGATAAAAGCATTGTAATGTATATTCCGGTTAAGGTGGCCCAAGATAGGTAAATGGGCTCAGATTTCTTTGTTCAAAATGACATTAGGGCATGCACACACGAGCTTGGTGGAAATCTAGTCTGATTATCATTTCAAGTAATTATCAAATGTTTCTAACACTGTTTGTTCATGCATATGCATTATGTTTGGATATCAACAAGCCAGATGAATGTTCGATATGAAATCATTCAAACATGGAGGGCTAATCAACCCCCACCGTATTTAATATGAATAGGATTTGAAAAATCTTAATATACAACAATTTTTTTTTTTAAGAATGCAACGAGGATAACATTCTGAATTTTAAAGAAACTGTTTCAAGAATCGATAAAATGAGACGAAACAAAGTGAGCAATAATCTTTATATATCATAATGAAATGTTTTTTAAGTTGTTTGATCCCCAAAAAGAGATATAGTATTGTAGTTTAACGACTTCCAAAATGGATTTCAGTTTTGTTATTAGAACTGGTTATCTTTTAATTATTTTAAGCTCTGAATTTGGCTATGATAATACAACCGATAAACTTAATATTTTTTTGTCTAACCAAACCAGGATTACGACCTATAACAGATCGTACGGACCGAAATCAAATTAAATCGGACCGTGAACAAAGTAGCAGTGTAACAAATCTGTGGGAAAAAATTAATACAAAGCGTATAGCAAAGTCTGCTGTTTTGCCATGTCATAGCTCGTTACTTTGTTTGTTTTTTTCTTTGAACGGGATGACTTCGTAAACTGTTGCGAGTCTCACCCATTTTTTAACCATTTCTTGGCTAATATTTTTTCCGTTTTGTAGAGCGATCGGCGAATGGCGGTGACACTTTTTAACCAGACCTGTTGGAATTGTTCAACCATTCTTCCCCATTTGAAAACAACTGCAACGACAAAAGGTTACACTAACATCAGTGAATTCTTAACGAGAGATTCAGCGGTCATTCTCTCGATAATCAGCTCCTTGGCGTGTATGATAGGATGCCTTGGAAACTCTTTGGTCATGCTCGTCGTACAACGAAATAAAACTTTTCGCACGATACCCGACCTTTTCATCACAAGCTTGGCTGTCTCCGACTTCTTCGTGTGCGCACTTTATTTACCGTTGCGTATTTACTACTTCTTTCATACCATCAGCGAAAGTGAGGGCAAATCCAAAGCTTTCGACTACGCCATGAGTTTCCTTGGGCATACTTCCATGGTAGCTTCCGCTTCAAACATGTTTGCGGTCACAATTGATCGCATCATTGCAATCAGATTCCCATTCAAGTACGTTTTCATGACAGCCAAACACGCTGTAGTTCAAATACTGCTTGTGTGGATAGTTTCTCTTGCATTCGGTGTCCTGTATACTTCTCTCTTGGTGTCCAATATGTACATTGCCCTTTATTGTTCAGTTCTTCTGATAACAACAATACTCATGTACATCTACATTTTCATCATTGCAAAACGAGCAGAAAACAGGATACAGAACGCTCAGTCAACATTGGAAAGGACTGTGTCTGAGAAAAAAGTAGCCAAAACCGTTTTCACAGTCGTGGGGGCGTATAATTTGTGTTGGCTGCCCATGCTTCTTCTCCCAGCAATTGCCAACCCTTCAACGAACCCAGTTCAGTTTGGTAAAGGGTTTTTTTGGGCTCAAACCCTTCTGGCCTGCAATTCAGCAATTAATCCTTACATTTACTGTATGAGAAGCAAGAAATATCGTGCGGCATTTGGTAAGATACTGCACATTCAGCTTTGCATTGGTCATGAATAATGGATGTAATAACAAAACGTACAAAATTAATCATAACTTTAAGTCAACTACTTCACCATCTATTTGCCATCAGAGATGAGCGGATATTTCTTGCTTGAACAAACAGATGAAAAATAGATCTTAAAAAATAGCCTACGCCACATGTACAGGCAAAGCGTACGAGCTTTTCAGCATAGCGAATAAGAGTATTTTCTTCATTAATAGGAAGGTCTCCATGGGGTTAGCCGTAAAACAGCCAAAACGTGTAGTCTTTAGGCGTAAAACTTGATAAACTTAGTCGTAAAAAAGTTAACCGTAAAAAATTTTCATGCCTTCGATGCTATTTTGGGTGAATTGTTAGCTGTAAAAATGGCCAAAATTTTAACCGTTAGCGGCTGGCTCTTCCTGTAAACAAGATCATGTCACAGCTGATAAATTAATTGTAAACCAAGCGGAATCATAATTTTGAAACAGCAGTGCAATTAACTGGTTGAAATTTATTCAGCAACAAGGTCATATGATTAAAAAGCGTGAAGTTGGGAAAAATCTAAGGGAGATCTTCCGAGACCGCCCCCAAGAGCTGTTTAACGAGATTCACCCATAACACAAATATAATTCTAGCGATTCAGCCATGCCAATCCCATATTTTAAATCGCGCTCCTTTGTTCAAGACGCGTGAGAGAATCTTTCGACGGCAAAAGTGAATGTTTGGTTTTTGAGAGCTTTGATTATAGCCGGTCAGGGTCGGTTATTGAAACGAGGTCTAATTTAGGTCACGGTTTTTGACGATTAATGGACTTCGTAAGTTCCTCATACTTGAGGTTTTTGAAGTAATAGGATATTTCTTTCAGTGCTAATTGAAATGGAAGCCCTTTTAAAAATTTCGCAAAAACTTGACGTTTAGGTTATAATTTCCGCTTCATCTAAGATTGTTTAGAACACGGTTTGGGTGAATATAGGAAAAAAAATTTTTAATAACCGGCCTTTAGGGTTGAGGAAAAATATATCCAACCACCACAAAAAAAAAAAAAAGTTCAAAAACTATGAAAATTCCATGTTTAAGATGCATTTGTATCAAAATGTAAATGTAGAACACTTAAAGTAGTTAAGTGAGGTAAAACAGAGATTAATGATTCTGAGAGAGATCAAAAGCCCAAATGTAATTATAGAAAGCCGAACTGTTTAAAGTTCGGCGTCATCCTCTCAATATTAACTAAAAACAAATGGTCCACATCTTTTTCTTGAATCCTCTCACTGGGAGGTACTTGTTACCATATTTCAGACCGAAAGAAAAGATGAAGAAACAGATTATTATCCTACGCTAGCAATAAATGTAAAATTTTATAACCTTACCAGAATACCGTGGTAATTTCAAAACTTAACAGCTTTCGTAAAATATAAAAACTCAATTATAAAATATCTCGCAGTGTCCAAGTTCAGCTTCCCTTTTGAAAGAGGTACCCGCCCAGTAAAGTTTTAGTTTTACAATAAATATGGAAGATAATTACTGGACTCATGTAAATACTGATAACACATTGTGGAAAAATAAAATGTCGACAATATTGACTTTTAATGGAAGAAGGCTGTTATTAGAAGCTTCCTGAGGCGGTCAAAAGTTCTTTGTCGTCTTGAAGAATCCAGTTACTAAATTTTGGTGAAGACGTCAATGATTCTTATAAGTTTATTTCAATTATCATCCAATAAGCGCATTTACTTCCCCGTTGGCCTTAAAATGATGGGGTTTTACTCGGTAAATAGAAATCTTGGCGGTCTATTAACATTTTGGTACCTTCTTTGCTTGGATGTCGAATAATCGATTAGCCATTCTTCTATGAAACCGAAACAGGGTTAGCGAATGATTACTACAATTGTCAGTTCAACAATTGCGATAATTTCCGGTAATTTTCATCTCTGGTAGTTTCAGAGTTCTGAGAAGGGATAAGAGAAGAGTAAAAACAAAATTCTACTCTTCTGAAGATGGTGACCTCCAAGTTTATGAATCTTAAATGAATTACCTACAATTAAGAAGTAAATAAACAGCAACCCCCGGCCCTTTTAATAATCTACTCGAACCTTAGCTTTTTTCGTTTCGTGTTTGTGGTCTATTAGTGTCTCTAAGAGAACTGTTTTCCTATCTTACTGAAGCGATTTTTTTAAAGTCCGTGAAGTCGAAGTTAGTTTTCACTGCTTGGAAATGACTCCTGAGGTACTGACAAGAAGAATTTGTTTACCAATCAAGAGCTTCTGTGGTTGGTGACCATTTCCGTTATTCTCGTGACCTTAATGTGTGATTCAGGGGCGATGAGAGAAGGAGAAAATAGATGGAAGTCACTGTTAAGGGTCAAATTGATTAAGAGTGCAAACGGCTGAAAGGAAGACAGCAAGAGTATTAATATTTTGCGTCTTCCGTGTTCCGTTGACGTAATAATTTTGAAACTACCCTAATATTAACAAAAAGGGCCGAATAGTTAATTGAAATCATGGTATCAAGCAATATTCACGTAGTCCAAAATGATTGACTAATAGTTCCATTATGAGCTTAAGAGCTTTACCTAGGGCCTCAGTTTGGTTAATCATTGGAAGAAAAACGACATTAAAATTTAGCCGTTAGGCGTAAAAATTGACGAGTTCTAACAGATAGTCTGAAAAAAAGTTGACCGTAACAATCTTCATTTGAAAAACAATGGAAAGAAATGGACAGTTAGCCGTAAAATGGCCAAAATTTTAGGGTAGTCGTAAAATCCATTATTCCATTAAGACCCTCTTTACTTAATGCAGAAGGAGGCGAGAAAGCACTATTGATGATTTCAAAAACTATATTTTAAAATTTTAAAGTTAAAATTTGCGAATTGTTTTGTAAATAAATATAAATCTACCTTGATTACCCAAGCTTAAGAGCTATTATTGATCAAACGTTTCCGAACTTTGGTCTGAGCTCGATATCATGTTGTATATTGAACCTTCCGCCATCATCAAGGTAACTTTAAGTGGCGAGGAGTGCAAATAGATACTCATAAATCGCTTAACACCTAAAGAAGGAGCACAGACAAAACCAGAAATATCGTGAGACGTTTGCGTACAACATAGAAGCTTAAAAAGAGGTAACATGCTGTCTTACAACTGACCTCTAAACGGCCTTTGTGTCTGCTGATCTGTTTGACATCCTTGTAGTTTTGGTGGTGACGGCCGCCTATAAAGAGATCGATTTTCAGCACTCAGAGAGATTGAGCCTATTTCGGCGCAAACAATTATCGGTACTTTCTTTTATTTCGTTTTAACTCTTGCATTTATTTTATCTAAAGCAATTTATTAGTTTATTTCCATATAGTTACAAATCGTTCAAAAAATTGCACTCAAAAACTGCAATATGACGACGTCAATTTCACCTGCTCTTTTATTGGACCTCAAACACCAAGAAAGACCATTGGCTCGAGATTTCTATCTCGAAACTTGACATAAACTCTTATTAATGCTTCTGGAACAAGTTGCCGAGCTTTGTGTGATAAAAAAAGGGCTCAAATAGATTGTATCCCTCTTTCCCCCTTTTGCCGCAAATCTAAAATTTTATTTAGGATGCTTTTAACAATTTAAAGGTAATTCAATCCTGTAATGAAGGTTTTCTTTAGTTACTTTCCGACAAAGCGACCGCTAGGAAATAAAACGGCTGTGACCGCTGTATTTGCGCTCCAGTTTGCAGGTTGAAGTCATTTGAGGTCATCTGAGTAGTATGACTGCAAGTTCATTTCACTGTTTTAACCAAACAAGCTGCAACCATTCCACAGCTACTTCTCCATCACAAGAAACACTTGAGTATCTCCGTATCAGTGAAATATTAAGTAAAGAGGTAGCGGTCGTCCTCTCTCTCATTTGCGCCTTGATAAGTGTGCTTGGAGCTTTGGGGAACTCTTTGATACTCCTTGCTGTTGGCGCAAACACAAATCTTCGCAGGGTTCCTGATCTTTTCATCACAAGTTTGGCGATCTCAGACTTCTCTGTGTGCTTGGTGTATCTACCCATGGTGATTCATGACCTCAATTACAAGTTTCAAAATGATAAAGAATCCAGGATCTTTGACATCACCAAAAGCTTCTTCGGCCATATTTCCACGGTTGCATCGGCAACTAACATATTTGCAATGACAATAGATCGCGTTTGTGCGATTAGATTCCCTTTCCAATACATAGCCGTTCTGACAACAGAAAAAGCACTTTTAGGAATATCATTTGTCTGGCTTGTTTCTCTTCTATTCGCTGTCTTGTACGCTTCTCCTGTTTTGATTCCCAGGTTCTATGTCTCAATCTACATCTCCTCTCTACTTATCACAACTACAATCGTGTATATCTATATTTTCATCACGGCCAAACGTCAAGAAAACAGAATTCATAACGTACATCCGCGGTCTTGTAATACCATGACAGAGAGGAAGGTGACTAAAACCATCTTAACAGTGGTAGGAGTTTATGCTTTATGTTGGATGCCTTTGCTTCTGCTTCCGCTCATTTTACACCCTTCTGAGAACTTTGTTCTATTCAAGAAAGCTTTTAGCTGTGTGCAGACGTTAATAGCTTGTAATTCAGCAGTAAATCCACTTATTTATTGTATGCGTAGCAGTAAATACCGTAGAGAATTCGCTAAAGTACTGCGTATAGTTTATTGTGGTGAAAGAATTTTGACTTAATTTCGAATTCATTCTGTGTCATAGCGTCTGGGGAGGATCAAACGAGAGGAAGGTGTTTCCCCGTAAGGCCTTTTTTCCCCGGACGATCTCTCAAAATATATTTTAAGGATATCGCTGTCTTATAAAATTTTAGTAAGATTCAAAAGAAACAAGAACTGCGTCAGAAATTTTACTTCATTTGATCGGCCAAGCGTTGTCTATACGCTCTGTAACGATGCATTAAATAACCAGAGAAGAATTGAAACATAACTTTTCAGGAGAACAGCTGGGAACCTTTGAAAGAAAGTGTATTCTATGGCCAGTCTGGTGTCAGTCTTTTCCAAGCTTTTTTCAAATGGTTATGCTTATAGTGCAGGCATAGTTCTCATTTGGATATAAAGCTTTCTTATCCTTTCGAATCAAAATAAAACCTACCTTTAACATTGTATTTTACCCTGTCATTATTTGAATTATTTGAGTTCAATACTTTTGAAATGGGAAGGTTCAGAAGGGGCTTTTTAAAAAAACTTTTTACTTCAGATTGAGGGGACGTTTTGAAGGGGGTCCTCATTGAAGAGGGGAACTTATTGAAGTCGGGGGGGGCTTTTTGGGGAGGGGACACGTTAAAAATAGGGGCTTATTAGAGAGGAGGACTTAATGAAGAGGAGAACTTATTAAATAGAAGGGCTTATTGAAGAGGTGGAGTTATTGAGGAGGGAGACTTACTGAAGTCGGGGGAAGGGGTTTTGGGGAGGGGAATCATTAAAAAGGGGGCTTATTACAGAGAGGGGAACTTATTGAAGAGGGGGACATATCTAAGTCGGGGGCTTCTTTGGAGAGGGGACGCATTAAAAAGAGGAGAATTAGAAGGGAGGACGAACTTATGAAAGAGGAAGGGTATTGAAGATGAGGGCCATTGAAAAGGAGGCCTATCAGAGGGGGGTGGTATTATTGTCATTCGTTCGTTTCAAAAGCTTATTGTAGGCTTCAATAAGATTAGCACAGCTTGATTGGTTAATACATTATATCTTAATCGGTCTTATCAGTTGGTTTTGTTCACAAACTTTGGTGAACTGAATCTCAAATGCGACGATACTAGAATTCAAAGTGTATAGAACTCAGTACTGAGATAGAACAGACATGTTTTAAGATGAACGAGTATGGTGAAAATTTTTGTTTCTGTCGTCTTATAAAGAAAGGCGTTACCCAATTTTGGCGGGAGCAACAGGAGAAAATAAATTTTTTTCTTTCAATTAGTTTGTTATTGTTATTCGTTTCAAAAGCTTATTATGGATGTTATTAAGATTAGACAAATTGTGGTAGGTTTTATCACAGATACAAAGATGTTATGAATCGAAGTTTTTGAACACAGCACTACAAGGCAGGTGAACGAAAAAGGTGAAATGTTTCTCTCTGTAGCCTGATAAAGAAATATCTGGATGTCACACATGTGGCGCGAGAACTCGGGAAGAAAAGAAAAATTTTGCTTACAATTAGTTTATTGTTATTTGGTTTTTTCAAAAGCTTAATGTGGATGTCAATAGGATCCCAAAAATTTGTAGCTTCACAAATTGTGGCAAGCTAACTCTCAGATACGAAGATGATGTAAATCAAAGTATTTAGAACACATTACTAGGAAAAAGGAAACATGCATTAAGATAAAGGAGCACTCTGACGATACTTTTCTCTTCTGTCGTCTAATAAAGAAAGATGTCACTCGTTTGGCGGGAGCGTAAGAAGAAAAGAAACATTTTTTTTTAAAAAAAGAGGTATACAAACCGCCGTAAAGTGATCTATGAACAATTATTTCATGATACATTATTTTGCAAGCGTAGGAGGAAGACAAATTTTGCTTTCAATGAATAAGAGGTATACAAATCGCTTGTGACTGATCTTTGAATAATTGTTTGGTGAATTGGTTCTTTCTGAATATCTTGTTAGTTTTGTTCCCGAACTCAGACCGCAAGTCCCCTGAGTGCCCTATGCATCTAATTTAATACTTTGCAGGCCCAAGTGACACTTCGAAATTGCGACAATCTAACAGGAGTCTTCAGAGAACTTTAAGTGACATGTATATAAGCTTCTATGATAACATAACAACTGCCTACTTTAAAACTACAGGGGAACATACACAACAGAATAGGTTACTTTTAGAGTCTTCCTTTCAAAAAGATCATTGAAGCGTGGTGCTAACTTAAATGCCTCATTTCACATTGAGTGTCCCCAAGGTCGTTATTAAGAGCAATTTTGCGGTCCTTGGCGGTTCAAATGAACCGCATTCAATAGTTTATGTCAAATACCTCCACTTTTCTGAATAATTTTTTTTCGGTCACTGACTTAGAACCTGGCAAGTTCCTTTGTTATATATGTTTTTTTTAGACTTTTTTGACCTAACATATAACAAAACCACAATAGTATTCCAATCATTTTCAACTTATTACTGATCAATTCTTTCATTTGATTTACTCAGTCACCCTCTATGAACACAAAACAAAAGATTTTCTCAATTTAAACATATGCATAGTTATTTTATCTTTCATCACTGCTGGTTATCCAAACAAGTCACCCCCGCTTCATGTGTGTAGATATTAATGAACAGCTCCCCACAAGAGATCATCATGGCTCAGCTAAAGTCATCAACACAGGTGGCCAATTCCAGTGCTCAGAGCTTTTCGCCCTTATCTTCCCCACAGTTGGGAATGCGCCTTACAGCAGAGTTCAATCCCGGACAAAATGACAGCGTTTTTGAAAAATCACCATGCGTTTCCTTTGACGACGAACACAGGGAAAATACTAAGCCACAAACAATATTACAGGTTCGTGAAAGACAGAAATGGAGAAAAATGGCGCTAGCAGTGACTATGACGAGATTATTGGTGTCTGTGATTTTTGCGGGGGCATCTTTCTTCCTCTCAGCCACTATGAACAGTTCATCTGTCCTCGCCACTGCTCTAGACACAACGCTCACCGTACTCACATGTTTTGTCTTAGCGTGGAGATTTCATGAAGAAACGAACGCGAAAATCGCTCCTAAGAAAGAAAAGCATGGATCCATTGCCTTTGGAATAGCATTCATCGTGGACGCACTGATAGTTATAGCAGTTTCAGTGAAGCACCTGACTGATAAAACCAAACCAGATGGAGCCAGCATAATGTGGCCATGTCTACTGGCGTTTTGTTTTGTCTATTGCTTACTGGCCGGGGCGGAATTCTGGATATCTTCGAAGCTTAAGAGCTCTATCCTTATAGCCCTGAGTATAGATGATGGGCTTACAGGAGGGTTTATGTTCGCTCTTTCTGTGAATGAATTCATTGAATGTAAACTTCCAAACTTGTGGTATTTGGATCATTCCGCGGCGATTGCTGTTTCACTCATGCTGTTATATTGCGGTATCAAAATTCTTGTGGAGATATTTGTCTACAAGAAACTTCCTTTCCAAATTTTCAATTCATGATTTCAAGAGGACACGCACGACCAGTTTGTACACGGTCAGGCGAATCGCTCGCAAGTGCAGCTCATTATCACAAGATGACTTGGAATTGACCCTGTCTTTCACGTTCTATGAATCGAGTCTTAATTAAAAGAAGACGATTGTAATCACATTGGCCTTTGAGTCAAAGGACTCTCAACCCTGAGATATCATTAAATGAAACAGACTGTCCCCTCATAATCGAGTCTCGGAACTTGGGGAGATTAATCAAGCTGTTCCATGCTTCGCTAGTTATAGCTCATTGAACCTAGATTACTAAGAAATATTCCCTTTAAATACCGGGACTTTTAGGGTGAATCTCACTTCGCCAGCAGTCTCGTGGGTTTTCGTTCCATCGACGCACTTCTTAAGTGTGCTGTTTGAGCTCATTGCCTTTCGAAATTTCTCAGTATTTACAGCGACATGAAGATGACAAATGCAACCTCGTTTTAAAATCATGGCACGGGCCTTGATCTTCACTGAGAGCTACACACTGAAACAGCGAAGAAAGAGTGAGGCAAAATCACTTCAGTAACTTAAGCCTAAAGGCGCGCATCATAAAATAACTGTGACGAAACAAAAAAACATAACTAAGAGCGCATTGCGACTCAGATTAACTTAGGCTGGTGTTTTAAGATGTTTTAAATTAGTTAGGACTGGAAAACTTCATTCGAATTATCCAGGAATCCGTTAGATTTGAAATCGCTCGATATTAGAATTCAATAATATTTCAAATTCAAAATCTTGGCGCGAAACGTCGTGAAATAAATCATAGAATTAATTAATGATTGTTCTACGGAGTCGCATCGATCGAAGATGAGATGGTATACAACTAGCAAGGTGCATGGCGTCGAGTGTATTCTCATAGTCGGCAAGGATAAAGAGAATAACATATTTTAATAAGATTGCACACAAAAGATAACTCTACTAAGAAGCTTTTATTTGGTTTTGTCAACCACCGGAAAACAAGAGCAAGACTCGCTCACAGAAATTTTGCTCATTTCGCTGACGAATTCATTGACCATATATGTCGGAGCTAGGTTATGAACTCGGAGCAAGGTTATTAGCTGACACCACAGCTCCCCTCAGCCAGTCAGAGGGCCAGAAATTCAATTACTGTGCTCCAATTTATACCCAAAGGGTTTACTCCCTTATTCGCTCTGACGAAAGGCTACCGCTTGAAACGTCAGCTTAGAAACTCGCTTTATGGTGCCTACTTTAACAACTTTGTCAACCCAGTTGATAAAACCAAATTTTCTTGTTTATTTACCTCGGACCTTTTGCAATGGCGATTGTTTTACGTTCCACTTGGAAAATATATGGGGCACCAGGCTAAGCTATGTTTTGAGCGATACGGTCCGCTGGAGAATTCAAGCAAATGCAAATGTAAAATCAGCGGCAGCATTTTTGCGATTTTGTCTTGCTATGGGTATTAAGGACTCTGTTTTCTTCTTCTGTAGCCGAAGAACACTGTATGGTACCAGGAGTCCATTACTCATTAAGTAATGGGCTCCTGATGGTACTGGGTAATCAGTTAAAGTGCCCATGACACGAATTTTTTTTCGCAGTTTCTGGTTGATAACTGTATTAAAAATTAGAAATAATCGACTTTAGCGCCTAGCGAGTTCTCCTGGACCACTTTTTTGTGCATTGAAAGTACGATTTGTCGGCCAAAAAGTGTCCTCATTAAGCGCGTGGCCAAAACTATATCGTGTTACATAGCTGTGACGTAGATAACTGTGAAGACACGTCGGCAACTCTGGTGGAGAAGGCGGAGAAATCTAAAAGAAAGGACGAACGTATTGCATGGCCAGAGCGCCAAATGATGTTAGCTACAAGAATAATACAAATATACCGGCTATTTCTATACACTACTTTCTAAAGGATATAGCTGTATGACCAAAATGGACGCATCTCGATCGTCGACATCGAGGAGATTTTACTCTTCAATGTCGTCGGCCTCATGCTCCGTACCAGCTTCGAAGACGCCTGTCATGAACACATACGACTAGCCAAATCAGGGGAATAATTAAGGGGCCTTTTCCCACACCGCACACGATTGTTTAACATTCTTTTCCGCTGACATTTCGCAGGCGTATAGCCTCTGTCTTTGCAATCTCTAACGAAAGGAGCAACTTGCAGTGAAACTGCCCGATAACTTCTCGGTGAAAAACCATCGTGCCTCCTGATACAGCTAATTCTTTCGTAAAAAGTTAGCTTTTGGTTTACTAAGGGAATTTCTCTACAGCAACGAAACTCTAGAGCACTGACCGAGGAGAATCTTCGCCGCACATAATGCGAAGGAATAAAATGCCATCAGATGCTACTTATTCTTAACATAAATTTCGCCATGGAAAACGAGACACAAACGCAACAAAGTAAATATTCAGTGACGGGAAATTTTTGCTCTAATCTTGACCTGAACACTGCAGGCGAGAACTGAATCGTCTTTATCAGTCTTCGTCGAAATTTCCGTTTGATGCACGCGGTTCTCCTTCGTAGGGCTGAACTGTTACTTGAGTACAATGTATCACAACTCTCGGTAGAGCTTGCTGAAGGTAGGTATACACCGCTATCGGACATCATTTCAAGAGTATTTCAACGCTGACTGATACAAAATTACAAGAGATGTGAGAGATTTGCAAGTGTCAGCTAAGAATTTCACAGTTTTCTACGTCATCACCCGCTAATTCGTTACCAGTCCACGGGACACTTTTAACCCTTTGACTCACAGATCAAATTTGTAATTCTCTTTATTGTCAAGTGTACAATTTTTATAATGTTAGTTCATAGAATTTAGTATTGTATCAACTAATTACCCCCAAATTGATATTTTTCTTTATTCTCATCATTTATCTGGTTGACATTGTATTGATATTGTAAGGAGAAATTCTCTCTTGGTCACTCATAGGAGTTAAAGGGTGAAGACTAAATAAGAGCACTTTGGGGCCCAAAAAGACCGAGTTTTAAGTTTTTTATATATTTCTTCTATCGGAATTGGTTTGTACATATGATAAGCTAAATATTTACGAAAAAAATTTCACCTCATAGGCACTTAAAAACCCTTAAATAATGAGATTACTTTTGCCTGCGCTCGATTGTTTTAACAACGATGCATACACAACGGTGTTCTTTGTATTCACATATCTAATTCACCTTTTGACTCCCACAAGTGATTAACTTGAAATTCTCTCAACCAACAGGGAAGAAGAACGCTCATACTCATCAGAGAGAAGTTGTTACCTTGATCTAACAAAAAATTCTCACAATTAATTTATGAGGAAATGCATAGCAGCTCCAGGAGAGAATTTACGATCAGATCTTGGGAGTTAGAAGGGTTAAGAAAACCCAGAATAATCCACAAATAAGTCTTTAACACATAGTACATTTCCTCACGTAGAACTTGCATCGGCTGATTTATCGTGGAATCGGCAAGGAGCGAACCAGACACGGGGAAACGACAAAATTTTCCGCTTTCCTCACAGAATACTGTCCGAGGTTGGCAGTCACCAACACATTCACCAAAATTGGAAGCATCTTCAGGAATGAATTCAATCCCTCGGGAAGCGAAGGAGCTTGCGTTTCTCCTGAAGACGTGGACACTAATAAACAGGAAAGAGTTTCCAAAAGTGACATTTCGAGCGTTAGCCCTTCGTCAGAGCGAAAAGAAAAAATAGCCAATAGAATATGGCAAATGGAATATTGGCGATTAGAACTTTAATCAATATTAGCTCATTGGTTGATCAAAAAGATAAAATAAATTTATTCTGAAGAGCGAGTCAATGATTTTCCTAGCCCGCTATTATTTCTATTAGAGTTATTTTACAATAGTCCTTTCCATGCGATGTACCGGGCGCTATTCCTCAATTAAGCAAATAGCCTCTTATCTAACTGAACTTAATTAGGAAGCCCCTCTCTCTAAAAATGGATTAAGGTAACGTCTTTTTCTTTACGGCCTTAAGGGATTCCTTTAATTTGTCGGAGAGATTTGCACGGAATGAAAATGACGACACTGAGTGCTGTTAGCATTTTAAAAGTACGTTTTCGTTTACTACAAAGAAAGTACATTATTTCGACTCTGTAAAAGTCAACAGTCATTTCAAGATACGGGGCGTTTTTTAAAACGAAATTCGGACAAGTAGCAAGTCTTCACAATAAGACATGAAATGCCTTCTTCTATTGATTACAATTCCATCACAATCGCAATAAAGTCCCAGCTTTACAAAAGAAGAGCAAATTCTGCATTGTACAGGTTTCGTGACTTACAGTACACACCTTCAAAACGAGTTTCAAAAGATATTAATCATATCTCTGGGTTCAAAGATAGAAGATTTCATTTCAAACAAATTTTTGAGTTAAGCAACCTGTTCAGTGAAATACGGCCCGCATAACTGACCAACTATGGTACACGCACTGTCTGACAGTCATAATAAAATGCCACACATGTCTTTGACATGTTCTTGTATTTCTTCTCAAGCAAAAGTTGTCAGACGGCTCTGGATTTTGCAGGTGGGCAAAAAATTGTAATTATGGTAGCGTAGGCAAGCAGTAAACAAAAGTCAGGCCAAACGTTCTCTATCTCCAAAAGTGATTCAAGCACTAGGACAAGTATAATGGTATGATATCTTTTTTATTCATTCAATGGGACGAACGACAAGCATCACTTCTAGTTACTTCTTATTGCTGATTAGTTGATGGTCTGTGGAGAGAAACATGTACAAATTTCAGCTTTAGTAAAGACTGAACACGAAATTCTCTGATCACATCATGAACCCGTATCAGCTGAGGTAAATTTGGGTAATTCAGCTGCCTCACAAAGAACACTCAGCAATGATGCACTAATTCAAGCCTAAAATTAATTTCAAAAGTTTTCATTTTTCCAGAAATCAAGACTCTTACGAACCCTGAAACATGTATATGTACGTAGTAGAGTTGTAACGTTAAGTTTATGGATCTTACAAACATATTTTTTAAGATACATGCTCATAAAAAGGACTTTCAAAACATCAACTTACTTGGCCCATTCCTCGCTCAAGATAAGATGATAATAACCAAATTCTTGAACACTTTGAATAATTCGGGCGGCATCCTCACGATAGACAAAGTTGATGAATGCAAAACCCTGCAAATAGAACAGAAGGCGAACAATGGATAAATACACTTTTTTTGAAAGCTTCCGCCCCAAATCCTTTTACCCGTAAGAGTGATTAGCATCTAATTTCTCCTTAAAATATCACCCCTGAATCAAAACATTATGGGCATGCGAATAAAGGAAATGATCCCCAACTAAAGAAGCTCTTGATTTTTAAACAAATTCACCTTGTCAGCACCTTAGGAAATGTAAAGAGAACAGTATGGAGAATATGCCTACTGATGTTAGGATGTAAAAGGTTAAAAGCCTCTAGTTGGGACAAGCAAGCAAGAAGGGCATCGCAATATCTCCTTCTGAATGGGATTCTAAAAAATCATTTCAACAGAGTTCCGTTACAATTCACCTGTACCTGCATTTACTCCTGAGTGAAGAGAGGCACGTGGAATTAAAATATCTTGTTCATAACCACAACTCAATGTGTTCAGTACTGTGAAGATCGCTTTCACATTTACTTCTATACCTGTAGTTCACATATATGATTTTGATATATTCACAGTCATTTATACAACACAATGACTTGCCCAAGGTTTGAACCAGAAACCTCTTGACGCAGTGTTAAGTGCCCTAACCGTGAGGCAACTCCTCCTAACCCCAGCAAGGATCAACGATGAGAAGTGAATGTTTTCGAGGGCTAGAAACAGCCTATGCTTCTATCGGTACAAACGAGATAAATTCATCCTCTCCCACAAAGTCAATCCCTTGGAACATACACTCTGTAGACAAATTATTTTTGGAGCCACTACCCTTGACTGGTTGGTACTCTTGTCTTTGGCCAAGAAAATCTTTGCGATTGGTCCAAATGGACGGAAGAGGTCCATGAAGTCAGATTCCTTAGTATCCTCTGACAGATTTGTCACGCGTATTGTGGCTGTTTCATCTGAATGGAGAGTACAATAAATAATCTTTATCACATAAGCTGCGGTGTTATACAAGGTTTCCTGTCCTGAGAAAAGCCGTAACAACACACGTGGGAAAATATCGTATTTTTTCACGTGTGTTGATATAGCCAATCAGCTGCTGACGCGTCACTCGCCTTTGGCGCAACTCGGTCAAGTTGATGAATGAACGGCAAAGCCTTCGCGATTCTAAATACAAGTTGTTCATATCTTGTTTGAATTATGGCAGCTAAAACATTAAAAAATCCGTATCGCTGACAGACAGTGAGGTTCAAACTTTCCTAGAAGGTGAAGAAAAACAATATGCTAAAAGAAAAACCGAAAGTTACGTATTCATTGGCTTTGGTGTTAGTATTTCTCTCGGCTGTGAATGAAAATCGACAACTGGAAGATTTGCCACAGGCCTATTTTGGCCGTTTACCTGAAAGACTTCTTCTGTCGGTAAGGACAAAGTCAATAAATGAGAATTTTGTAAATTGAAAATTACGAACATTGTTGTTTTTGTAATCATGATTGAACTCATTTTTCCATCTTAAGAGTTAGCGCCAACGCACTCTACGATTGATAATGAAGTCGACTTTTTCTGTCACTAAAGATTCTGATTAGCTATATCATTATTTTCATTAGTGAACAAAACTGTGTCGCTCGCTCACCGCTCCTCTTGACTGACAAATAGCACATCTCTAAGAGCTTATGCGCATTTTTCTTTAGAAAGATGGCTTCAAATAAGACTTACCGTTTTCAGAACCTAGATTCATCAGTAGAAGAGTTCATAGACGGACAGGAAAATAAAAACACCAAGAAAAAGACCAAACACGATGTTGCTCTGTTCCACGAATTTCTTGTTTTGAAAGGCGAGACGAGAAAAATGGACGAATTGACTCCTCAAGAACTGAACAAGTTTACCAGCGAGTTCCTTATAACGGTTCGCAAAAAAGAAGACAACGAGGAATACGAGCCTAATTCCTTAAAGGCAATTTTAGCTAACCTTGAGCGCCATTTGAAGAAAAAAACCATGGACTTTGCCTCATGAAAGACGTCCAGTTCGAGCAAACTCGGAAAGCGCTTCAGTCAAAGCAAAGGGATCTAAAACAGAAAGACATGGGCAACATGATGTGTGTATTTCAAATTTTGAACTTCCGTAGAACTATTTCGACATATTTTCAGGATGTCTTATTTTATTCTAACTATTTCTGCCTTTTAACGGCATTTTTGCGTGATAATTTAAATGCAACGTATTTTACAAGGAAGCCATTTCAGTGCAACTCTCGAACTGCGAGGCGGCTCGACCACGCGTTGTTTTCCTTTGAAAGAAAATAAAGATATGTTTATATTTGAGTTCTGTTCGCTTATGAAACTCGGTATGAATGTAATAAATAAGTTATTTCACGGATAGCTCGCTTGTACGATTTTTATGCACTCATTGTGTAAAACAAACTCACTCGCTGCGCTCGTTCGTTTCTTTTACTCAACTTGTGAGTAAAAATCGTACGCGCTCACCAACCGTGAAATAACCTATAAATATACAACTTTATATTTTATCTTTCGCACTGGAAAATCAGGTCAAATCAACATTCACCTAAAAGACTTGCAGAAACACTCTTCTGATTCAAGACACACTCTTCTATCACTGTATCACAGTATACATACACACAGTCAATAAGATCCCAAAAATTCTCTAGCTTCACAAATTGTGGCGAGCTAACTCAGTCACTCAGAGCCTAAGTGACGCTTCAAGATTGCGGCAATCTAACAAGAGTCTTCAGAGAACTTTAAATGATATGTAAATAAGCTTCTATGATAACATAACAACTACTTACTTTAACTCTACAGGGGAACATGCACAACAGAATAGTTTACTTCTAGAGTCGTCCTTTTAAAAGGGTCATTGAAGCGTGGTTCTAACTCCAATGCCTCATTTCACATTGAGCGTCCTCAAGGTTGTTACTAACAGCAATTTTGCAGTCCTCGGCGGTTTAAATGAACCGCATTCAATAGTTTATGTCAAATACCTGCACTTTTCTGAATAATTTTTTTTATAGTTAGCAGCGGTCACCGACTTATAACCTGGCAAGTTCCTTTGTTATATATGTTTTTTCTAGACTCTTTTTTGACCTAACATGTAACAAAACCACAATAGCATTCCAATCATTATGAACTTAATGATCAATTCTTCTATCTGATTTATTCAGTCACCCTATATGAACACAAAAGCAAAAGATTGTCTCAAATTTAACAAATGCGTCGTTGATGTTATCTTTCATTACTGCTGGTTATCCAAACAAGTCACCCCTGCTTAGGGTGTGTAGATATTAATGAACAACTCTTCTCAAGAGATCCTCACAAGATCATGGCTCAGCTAAAGTCGTCAACGCAGGTGGCCAATTCCAGTGCAAAGAGCCTTTCGCCCTTATCTTCCCCACAGTTGGGAATGCGCCTTAAAGCAGAGTTCAATCCCGGACAAAATGACAGCGTTTGTGAAAAATCACCATGCGTTTCCTTTGTCGACGAACACAGAGAAGAAACTAAGCCACAAACAATATTACAGGTTCGTGAAAGGCATAAATGGAGAAAAATGGCGCTAGCAGTGACTATGACGAGATTATTGGTGTCTGTGATTTTTGCGGGGGCATCTTTCTTCCTCTCAGCCACTATGAACAGTTCATCTGTCCTCGCCACTGCTCTAGACACAACGCTCACCGTACTCACATGTTTCGTCTTAGTCTGGAGATTTCATGAAGAAACGAACGCGAAAATCGTTCCTCAGAAAGAAAAGCATGGATCCATTGCCTTTGGAATAGCATTCATCGTGGACGCGCTGATAGTTATAGCAGTTTCAGTGAAGCACCTGACTGATAAAACCAAACCAGATGGAGCCAGCATAATGTGGCCATGTCTACTGGCGTTTTGTTTTGTTTATTGCTTACTGGCCTGGACGGAATTCTGGATATCTTCGAAGCTTAAGAGCGCTATTCTTATAGCCCTGAGTATAGATGATGGACTTACAGGAGGGTTAATGTTTGCCCTTTCTGTGAATGAATTAATTGAATGTAAAGTTCCAAACTTGTGGTATTTGGATCATTCCGCGGCGATTGCTGTTTCACTCATGCTGTTATATTGCGGCATCAAAATTCTGGTGGAGATATTTGTTCACAAGAAACTTCCTTTCCAAATTTTCAAATCATGATTTCAGGACGAATTTTCTAAAGAGGACACGCACGACCAGTTTGTACACGGTCAGGCGAATCGCACGCAAGTGTAGCTCACAAAATGACTTGGAATTAACCCTGTCTTTCACGTTCTTTGAACCGAGTCTTCATTAAGAGAAGGACAGTTGTAACCATATTGGCCTTTGAGTCAAATGACTCAGCCCTGAGATACCATTAAATGAAACAGACTGAAACGTTGATAATCGAGCCTCGGAACTTGGGGGGATTAATTTAGCTGTTCCATGTTTCGCCAGTTACGGCTCATTGAACTAAGATTACTGATTCCCTTTAATACCGAGACTTTTATAGGGTGAATTTCACTTTGCTAGCAGTCTCGTGGATTTTTGTTCCATCGGCGCAGTTCTCAAGCGTACTGTTTGAGCTCATTGCCTTTCGAAAACTTCTCAGTATTTACAGCGACATGAAGATGACGAATACGACCTCATTTTAAAATCATGGCACGGTCACTGATTTAAGCTTACCTAACATTACTGAGAGCTGCATATTGAAACACAAAGGAAGAATGAGACTAAGTCGCTCCAATAACTTAAGCCTACAGGTGCGTATCATAAAATAACTGATTGAAGAAACATCATGGCACGGTCCTTGATTTTCGCTTACCTTACATTACTGAGAGCTGCATACTGAAACAGCGAAGAAAGAATGAGGCAAAATCACTCCAATAACTTAAGTCTCTCGGCGCACATCATGATATAACTGAGTGACGAAACAAAAAAACGTAACTTAGAGCGCTTTAAATACCTGGAAAACTTCATTCGAATTATTCAGGAATCTGTTAGATTCAGAGGCCTGTCACCAGACCGCACACGATTGTTAAACACGATTGTTCCACATGGCTACATTTGCGAATTTCTGATTGAATGAAAATCCTACCAATTGTAGTTTCCATCGTATTTTGATAACAGAAATGCATCATTTGTGATGCAGTTCAAGCCCTTTCCTGAGCTTTCCTGACCGATATCCTGTTGCGTGAACAGTGCGAAACCTGTGGTGGATACTGGCATAAAGACAAGCTCGAACGGGCCATGTATTCTCCTAACCTAGGTTTCCGAAAATCCATCCCACGAGTCATCATTTCCCCCTTGCCCTTGAATCAGATGACTATAAACTCATTCATTTTCTGTTCGGTTTGCCCGGCTCGACGATCACGACGATAGCCTCTGTCTTTGCAATCTCTAAGGAAAGGAGAACTCGCAGGGTACAATTTCTGCACAGCCCCATCCTACATTATGCATTCAGTTCTTGGATAGAGAAAACAATAACAAAAATAATACATTGCCACTGGGAAGTCAGATTTGTTTTACAATAGTATGGGGCTGTGCAGAAATTTTACCCAACCCATTCTTAATATAGATTTCGCCATAAAAAACAAAATACAAATGCAATAAAGTAAATATTGAGTAACGGGAATTTTTTGCTCTAATCTCGACCTGAACACCAAAGGCGAGAAACCGTCATTGTCAGTTTTCATAGTGTTCTACGTCACGAAACGCTAATTCGTTCGTTACTAGTCCACGGGACACTTTTAAGACAAAATAAGAGCATTTTAGGGCCTGAAAAAACCGAGTTTTAAGTTTTTTGAAATTTTTCTTCTATCGGAATTGGTTTGTTCCGTATGATGAGCTAAATATTTAGGCAAAAAAAATTCCGTGTCAGGAGGACTTTCATGAAGAGATGACTTCTGCTCTCGATTGTTTCAACAACAATGCACACACAGTGTAATATTCCTCCCTAGGAATTGTTATTCATGAGATGGTAATAAGGTATGGAGAATCGCTCTGGCCAGGAAAGCCCAAGCCAGGCCAAGGGGTGATGGTAAGACGGATCAATCCGACCGGGGGTGGGGTGGGTGGGAAAACGCTTCGATGCGCAGAACACAGCCCAAGGCCTCAAGTAAAGTGACAAGGAGTGATACAAAACAATCTATTATATCCAAAATCCCTAGGGATAATTACCAATGCTAATTGAGTTAGCATAGTATTTTTGTATTCGCATATCTCATTAAGGAAACATTGAATAATCTACAAGTTAGTCTTTAACACAGTACATTTCCCCAGGTAGAACTTGCATCGGCTTGTCGTGGAATCGGCAAGGAGCGAACCAGACATAGGGAAACGACAGATGTTTCCGCTTTCCTCACAGAATACTGTCCGAGGTTGGCAGTCACCAACACATTCACCTAAATTAGCAACAAACTTCAGGGCTGAATTCAATCCCTCGGGAAGCGAAGGAGATCTAGATCATTCACCTTGTGTTTCTGCTGACGACATCGGCACTAATAAACAGGAATCGGTATTGGAAATTCACGAAAGATACAAATGGAGACGAGCCATCGTTGCTGTTTCAGTTGCGAGCCTGATCACTTCAATTTTTTTTTCGGCTGCTGCATTTTACGGCACGGCTACAACAGATAGTTCTTCTGCCCTTGCCACTGCGCTCGACACTCTCTTCGCAGTTTTCAGTGCCGCTGTTGTTATTTGGCGTTTCCGGGACTATTCGAAGGAGAAGGTCATCGGGCCAAGGAGGGAAAGATACGGATCAGTTGCCTTTGGTATCGCCTTTACTTTCAATGGTCTCGTAACAATTATAGTATCTAGTTTTAACTTGGAAGATGAAAAAAGAACCAGACATGCGAACTTATTGTGGCCTGCTCTTCTTGGTTTTAGCATTACCTACTGTCTTTTAGCTACTTTGGAGTTCTGGATCTCTAAGAGATACCAAAGTTCAGTTCTCGTTTCTTTGTGTATTGACGACGCAGTCACAAGTGGTCTTTTGCTGGGTATAGCAATAAGTACTTTACTTGTGGATCAATACACTTACGTGTGGTATTTAGATCATATAGTCGCCATTGTATTGGCAGTTGTTCTTCTTGCAAGTGGTGTTAAGATTCTTCTCGATATTTTTGTGCGCAAAGAACTTCCTTTCCAGGTGTTGGGGTAAATTCTTACCCTTTTCCTTGTCAGGAAAACTTCTCAGAACGGGACGTGGGTGCGCTCGACCCTTGTCAATAAACCGTCAAAACTCTACACAATAGAGTCAGTAGAGAGGAATTGTGTGCTTTGCCACCTTCACGTCTCCGAATTTCCCCAGAAAACGTGCCCTAGCCGAAAATTAGCCTCTTAATTTAGCTTTATCAACCGAGTTAATATAAATTGACCACCGTAAAGTTTCCAAAAAGTGAGATTTCGTGCGTTAGCTCATCGTCAGAGCGAAAAGAAAAATAGCCAATGGAATATTGGCGAATGGAACATTATGAATATTAGCTCATTTGTTGATCAAAAAGAATATTAAATAAAAATAGATGATAAATATTTACTCTGGAGTGCGAGTAAATGATTTTCCTAGCCCACTATTCTATTGGAGTTCTTTTTGAATAGTCCGTCCTGTGCAACGTACCGGGCGCTATTATTCAATTGAGCAGATTAGTCTATTATCTAACTGAACTTAAGTAGAAAACCCCTCTCTATAAGAATGGATTAACATAAAGCCTTTCTCCCTACGGCCTTGAGGGATTCCTTCAATTTGTCGGAGATTCGCACGGAATGAAAATGAAAACACCGAGTGCCGTTAGCATTTTAAAACTACGTTTTCGTTGGGCAAAGGAAGTACATTATTTCGACTCTGTAAAAGTTAGCAGTCATTTTAAAATACGTGACGTTTTTTCAAAAGAAAAGTCGGACAAGGGGCAAGCCTTCACAATAGGACCTTGTACTGCCTTCGATTGATTTCAATTCCATCGCTATGGTAACAAAGCCCCAGTTTTACAAGAGAAAAGCAGGTTCTGTGTTGTGAACTTACAGTACGCACCGTCAAAACGAGGTTCAAAAGATACTAATCATCACTCTGGGTTCAAAGATGGGAAGATTTCAATTCAAACAAACTTTTGAGTTTACCGGCCTGTTCAGTAAAAAACGGCCCGCATAACTGACAAACTATGGCGCAGGCACTAACTGACAAATATAATAAAATGCCAAACTTGCCTTTGACATGGTCTTGTATTTATTCTCTAGTAAAAAATTGTCACACGGCTCTGAATTTTGCAGATGGGCAAAAAATTGTTGTATGATAGGGTAAGCAAGCTATAAACAAAAGTCAGGCCAAACGTTTCTCTAGCTCTAAAAGAGGTTCAAGCACTAGGTCAAGTATAATGGAATGATATATTTTTTATTCATTTATCTTCCTTTTTCTAAAGGGACGAATGACACACATCACTTCTGGTTGCTTCTCATTGCTGATTAGTTGATGGTCTGTGGAGAGAAACATGTACAAATTTCTGCTTTAATTAAGACTGAACACTAAAAGTCTTCGATCACATCATAAAACCGTATCAGCTGAGGTAAATTTTGGTAATTCAGCTGCCTCACATAAAACACTCAGAAATGATGCACTAATTCAAGCCAAACATTAATTCCAAAAGTTTTCATTTTTCTAGAAATCAAGACTCTTACGAACCCTGAAACATGTACATGTACGCAGTAGAGTTGTAATGTGAAGTGCATGGATCTTACAAATATATTCTTACAGATACATGCCCACAAAAAAGGACTTTCAAAACATCAACTTACTTGGCCCATTCCACGCTCAGGATCAGATGATCATAACCAAATCCTTGAACACTTTGAATAGCTCGGGCGGCATCCTCACGATGGACGAAGTTGATGAATGCAAAACCCTGCAGAACAGAAAGCGTAAAAAGGGTAAATATACTTTTTTCAAAGCTTCCACCCCTTATTCTTTGACCTCTGAGAGTGATTAGCATCTAATTTCTCCTTAAAATGTCACCCCTGAATCAAACATTATGGGCATGAGAATAAAAGAAATGATCCCCAACTAAAGAAGCTCTTGATTGTTAAACAAATTCTCCTTGTCAGCACCTTAGGAAATGTAACGAGAACAGTATGGAGAATATGCATACTGATGTTAGGGTGTAAAAGGTTAAAAGCCTCTAGTTGGGACAGATTTCTCCAGCAAGAAGCAAGAAAGAGTATTGCAATATCTCCTTCTGAATGGGACCCTAGTCAATCACAAGTTACCCATCAGAATTTCAACAGATTTCTGTGACAGTTCACCTGCACTTACATATACTACTGGAGAGAGGCACAGCAGGAGTAAAATATCTTGCCCTTAAACACAACACAATGTGTTCATTACTACAAAGATTGCTTTCATATTCATTTCTACATCTGCATTTCACATATATGATTTGCATATATTTACAGTTATTCATAGATCACAATGACTTGCCCAAGGTTTGAACCTGAAATCTTTTGACTCAGTGTTAACCCCTAAACTCCCAAGATTTCATTAGTAATTCTCCTTACTGTCTGCCAAATGATTCTCATTATGTTAGTTTGGAGAATTTGGTTTAACAGATCAATTGGTAATCCCAGAATTGATATTTTCCTTTATTCTCATCAGTTGTCTGCATGATATTGCATAGATATAGTAAGGGGAAATTCTGTCTTGGTCACTCACGGGAACTAAAGTGTTAAGTGCCCTAACCATTAAGCAACTCTTTCCCCCCCCCCCACCCCCTTTCTGCAAAGATGAAAAGTGGATGTTTACAAGGACAAGAAACAGCTTATGCTACTATTAGACCATATATAAATGAGATAAATTCATTCTCTCCCACAAATTCAATCCCTTGGAAAATACACACACACAGTAGACAAATTATCTTTGGAGCCACTACCTTAGACTGGTTGGTATTCTTGTCTTTGGCCAAGAAAATCCTTGAGATTGGTCCAAATGGACGGAAGAGTTCCATGAGGTCAGATTCCCTAGTATCCTCTGACAAGTTTGTCACACGTATTGTGGCTGTTTCATCTGAATGGAGGGTACAATAAATAGTTTTTAATACACAACTTTATCTCTTATCTTGTGCCCTAGAAAATCAGGTCAAATCAACATTCAACTAAAAAACTTGCAAGACACACTCTTCTATCACTGTAGCACGCAAATTGGGAAAAGGACAGATTTTGTTTGAGTGAGAGTCAATAATAACAGTGGATAATTTTTTACATTTCATTGTACATTACATGTTGTAAGTAGCTCCACTGCTGATTCACCTCTTACACTAACTTCTGAGGTGACAAGGAGAAGAAAATTAATTTTGCTCTCAAAAATACCTAGTAAGGCAAGTATACCCTACCCTTCCCATCTTGAATGTCAAGTTTTTCTATCTAACTGCTCAGAGTTCAACATTGTTTTGGGGGACGGGGGGAACTATTGAATAGTAATGATACCTTTTGAATTCAAAAGAATTCATCAAGTATTTTTGCCCCTGATTGCAAACCCTTAAAAGGTTTATACCTCTCTGTGACCTTGGCATAGTCTCTCCGCGCCTGTTTCCAGCCCCTTCCCTCAAACTTGGTGCTATGTACTTTCCAGTCTTAGATGCTTGTGGCTGTTCCCCAGTTCCTCCTACTGCTCCTCCTGTATTATTATAAACAATTAAGAAATTTCATCAACAAGTTCATGTACTTCACTTGCAAAAATATCAAAGTTTTAATTCTCAAGATCCTGTTAGAAAACTTTCCTAGAGAGGAGAATTTGGTGTTGGATCAGAATCAGAAGAACACCCTCTAGGTTTTTCTTTTCAATAGCTTGATAATAATAGTGAAGGTTCAATAAATTAAGTGTCATCCCACAGTGTGAAATAATACCATGTTTTAAATAGAAAAAATCAAAAACCTATTTTTTCCAAATTACAAATGGTGTCTAGAGTTTAAAGATTCTAAGATGACTGAGGATAAAATTCCTTAAAAATTGATTTTGTAAAATTTTTCCACACAAAAAAGTAACACCTTTCTATCTGGAATATGTGTACCATCCTGTTAGTTATACAAATCTAACTTGGCCTAAAATGATCAAAATAGCTTTCTAAAAGAAGTGGGGTTTATTCTAATTCATTACCAGCATCAACTGCAGATTTTGCTTCATCATCCTTGACTTGAGCTTGTATAACCTCAAGCTGATCCTTGTAAGGACACTTTGTTGTCCAGTGGTCCCCTTTACAGATACGGCACTGAACAATCTTCTGTGAACTTTGACCTAACTTTTTCAGTGGGTCATCATTATCTTGTTGAAGGTCCTAGAGAAAAGAAAAAGACAGATTGATTGAAAACTTTTCAATTGGAGGGCTCAGAGCAAGAACGATCCCTTTATTTTTCGGCCATTTTTGAAAGTGTTCAGAAGTAGTTGAATTTTGGCATGTGGACACTTTCAAAAATGGCCGAAAAATCAAGAGATCGTTCTTGCTCTGAGCCCTCCAATTAACAAACACATATGGCTTAGTGTCTTAAAAGCATTTATAGAGAGAGAAACAGAGAGCTCTGAAGATTCTGTTATAAGCTTTCAATTCATTAAATATAATTTTGACTTCAAACCCTGTTAAGGGTTTGGTGAAAGTTAAAAAAAGGATGTAAATCAAAAAAAAATTTTTCTTGATAGTGACTTTTGACATGATCCAACCAAACTACATCCTAAAGAGGATCAGAAGTGAGTTTGTCATCAACCGAGTGGTGTGGTAAAGAACAGATGGCAGTCTGTTCCCACAAACCACAGTCTGGCGCAAATTACAACATCATTTCCTCTACACTCTAATAATCCACCTTATCATTTTCCAGATACACTGCTGATGAAGAGCATTAAAACTACCAAGTACACATCAGCTTTTTGTACCAAATTCATTGAAAAAAAAATTTTAAGCCAGATCCCAAAAAATATAAATGTATCACACTTAACATCTAGCTAACCACAATGTAAAGCTACCTTACTTAAGGACAAGTGATTTCAAATTTTTTCTATAAGAAAAAGGTGTCTACAGGCATGTTTCATGAGGCAGGTATGCAACTCCTTTTCATAAACTGTCACATACAGTTACTACAGCCATATACGAGAAACCTGCTGAGGTTTAGTCGTTTACCTCCTTATTTGTGGTGAGAATAAGGAACACATCATCAGTAACTGTTGTTGTCGAGGGATTAGGACCAGGACCATCATTCTTTGCATCTCCAAATTTTCTCCATAACTGAAATATAAAAAGAATCATTTTTAAAAAAGACTGGACCATGACAAACACATTATAAAAAAAGCAAATAGCCTTTCAATGACATAGTACATTTAAAAATCAAACTCTGCTACCTTTCTCTTTGCAATTGTCTTAGAAACTCTTTTCGTTTCAATTTTGAAAGTCCTCACAATCTAGGAGAGATAAATTAAGGGAGAAAAATTGTAAGCTTTGAAAAAAGTTCAGCAATCTAAATTTACACTTCAAGGAAAAATCCACAATGACCAAGGTAAATTCCACAAGGGTTAAAAAAGACACTATCAGAGTGGGAGATTGGTTTGTTTAAGGAATTACTTGAAGAGATTTCCAAATAACCCCATACTAATCAGTTCTAAACAAAGCATTGATCTAAAAGGTAAACTATTGTTTTCTGATTCTTTTCAAATGACAGTACGAATAATGAAGTATGCAGTTATAAAGAAATCTTGCCAAGTACTCTACCAGACAGTCAAAAGTTTGATGCAGGTGCAATCAGTGTATTGTAAAAAATATATTTAACTCTGTTTGCCACATTTTAAGTGCTCTGTAAACAATACTGTTCTCTTTTCTGACATTAACCTTTAGAAGCTTTCCCTCTTCATTTCTTTTAAATTCTGTTACGATTTTTGTGTCTCCATTGATGACTTCTGTTGGAGGAGGTATGTGGTCTACAAAGTAATTGTCACACATAAGAACACAGTTACAGCTTTCAGTGAACTAAAAATTGAGTCAGAGTAGAAAAATAAGTAAATTTTTTTGGTTAGCTTTATAAATAAAAAGAAGTTTGAACTGAATATTAACCTCAATCATTCCAAAGAAACCATGTTGAACAATGTTCCGAATACTGCCAAGATAACTTATGTCAAAGGCATCCGATTCAGATATAAAGTAAATGTGTACCCCAAGGTCAAAATATGATAAAAATCATATTATCAAAAACGTAAAACCTTTAAAAATAAAACTAGCCTTGTGAGAAAAAACGCATAAAATTGGCCACACTAAACGAGCAGATCACATTGTAAAAGTGTTTTACCTGCTTCCCCTTCCTCTACCAAATCGGCCCAACTTGGCTTCTCACTGGAAAACAAGAATAATCATTCATGCTTATTACATCAGGAATTTGTGTTGCTTAACATTTACCAAGAGCCATTGGACGTTTCTAGCGAGAAAAAATCCAAGACATCCTATAAACCCAGGACAGACAAAAGCTTATGTAGAACTTAACAATTTCAAAGGAACAAGTTATATTTTCAGGCAGCCATCTTGAAACCTAAAAACTTTTGCATTGAGTCAAACGTTTAAATAAAGACTTAGTCTCTCAGAAAAAGAAAGCTAAAAGCACTTACTCGGCTTCTTTGTCGATGGCTGGCATCCGTTTGCTCAAGATTATCCAAAAACTTTCAAGTTTTGGTCAAAATTTCGATCTTTTTATTTCCACGTGAATCGTCGGCTAGTCAGCTGAACTTACAACCGCAATGACTTCGGTTTGTTTGTCAGCGGTAGAGTCACTAGACCACAATTCCTTGAAACAGACAAATTTTCAAGATGGCGGACGAGGTGAGATGGTGACAATAAAATATTTTGGTAGAATTAAGTTGTACCTTGAGTTCAAATCTGATTATTTTTGCTGTAACCTCTAGGCGGAAGGGAAGCACAAAAAGAAGATGAAAAAGAAAGGTGTGTCTGTCGCTGTTGTTGATATTGTTTTTTTTTATCAGGTGGCATTGTCAAGGAGTCTGAATATACGGTTAACATAATAGCGTGTTTTACCATGGTAAATTTAACTTACGTGTAACTTTAAGCTTTCATGCTACACCACCATCCATACTTTCGAAAATCGATATTTAATCGTTAGCTCAGAAATTGTAGTCTATCTTCTTTGAACGCCATCGTTTTGATGAAACTTGGCGTTGTAGTAGAAGTTATACCGTCTATTGTTGTATTTCTTTGATAAAACTGTCTTCTTAAGTTTAAAATTAACTTTGTGGTAATTCTTAATTTCAGCAAAACACAAGCTTGAGAAGAGGAAGAGGGATTCATCCCTAGAACAAGAAAACACTGTAGAGTCAAAGATACATAAGATAGATGCCAATGGCACCACGTCTACAGGTCAGAAAAGAGCTCATGTCATACAGATTCACAAGATAGAGGAGGGAATTTCTTTGGCAAGGTGGATATATTGTTGTACTCTGGATCAAAAGGTCTGGGTTTGAGGGCTGCCAGGGTCATTTGTGTTGCTGCTGTGAATTTTTTTTTTTTTTTTTTTTTTTTTTGGGGGGGGGGTGTGACAATGTAAATCATACTTTGAATTCACAGTGCCTCTCCCCACTAAGCAGTATAAATACCTCTTACTAACCTAGTTTCCTCAATTCTTTGAGTAAGTTAAGGAACCTCATTTTTTTTCCACTCAGATTTGTAGCCTAGGTGGGATGAACACCAGCCATAAATCAGGGTGGAAAAAATGAGCTTTTCTAATTTACTATACTGACTGAGGAAATAAGGTTAGTAGGGTGTTTATTATACCTCTGGGTTCAAATAAAGGGGAAACAGTACAACTCAAACAAAATTTTGAATTTGGCAGGCCATACAATGAAATGGGACCCACTAATCATAGCACACATACCGGTACACATACTGAGAGACAAGACCAATTGATACTAAAATACTACAAGAGAAACTAGATAAATTGGATCAATATCAGTATCTGGGCAACTGCCCACCTACCCCTCCCCGAACTCAACAACAGTCAATTGATAACAAGTCAGGGTTAATGTTGGGTTAGGGGAGGGGTAGGTGGGCAGTTGCCCAGATACTGATATTGATCTGATAAATCACTGGGGTTGCTTGCAATGATCTAACAACTGTAATACACCTTTTTTTTAAAGCTTCCACCTCTAATCCTCAGACCCCTAAGAGAGATTAGCTTCTAATTTCTACTTAAATATCACCCCTAAATCACACATTATGAGCATGAGAATAACAGAAATAATCACCAATTAAAAGAGCTCTTGATTTCTAAACAAATATTCCTTGTAAGCACCTTAGAAAATGTAAAGAGAACAGTATGAAGAATATGCATACTGATGTTGGGGTGTAAAAAAGGTTAAAAGCTTCTAGTTGAGACAGATTTCTCTTGCAAAAAGCAAGACAGAGCACTGCAATATCTCCTTTGAACAACTGTAATATTCACCCAGGTGCTACAGAAAGTGGGATAACTGCAAAAGCAATAGGCTACCAGGCTTTTCACTCTTAACCCTTGAACCCCTAACAGTGACTACCATCTGCTTTCTCCTTTTAATATCACCCCTGAATTATATATGTTAAGATCATGAGAATAAATGAAATGATCACCAACTAAAGAAACTCTTGATTATTGAACTAATTCTCCTTGTCAGCATCTTTGGGAAATGTATAAAGAGCATTTTGGAGATTATTCATACTGATGTTAGGATGTAAAGGGTTAACCTACTCTGAGAGATTCTCAACTGAATGCTTGGAAATCTCCTACTCTCACAAGATGTAAATCTGCTTGATTGGTACAGGGCGTGAATTTAATTTTTTTTTTCTGATAGCCACTTGGCTCCTGAATTATTCAGAGTGGTAGCCAATTAAAAAAAAAGTTGGTTGTCATTTTCAAAGACAGCATACAACATTCAAGCTCACCTAAATCCAAGATGGTATCTAGTTATCAATCAAGATGCATGTGCTGTGTTTTGGAAACAAACTTAACGAGGAAGTTTGCCATAGATTTACCTTTGCAAATCTTTTTAATTCACTATATCTCTTTGTAAGGTTATGATGAAACATTCTAGTCACCAATTTGGTGACTAATTTTCAGGATTTGGTCACCAAAGTGAAAAATTTAGCCGCCCTGTGGTGTCACACTCACTTTTGATCGGAAACCTGATAGCACTCATAGTGATACAGCTGGTTCTCTGTCTAAGGTTTTTTAAAAGCTTTTGTTGAATGTCCTTCAGGTCGTCACTTTACTGTCAGTCTTGCCCTCCCAGGCTCTATTCTGGATAACGCACAATCACCAGAATTGAGGACATACTTAGCAGGCCAGGTATGGTTAAAGGATATATTGTGCATTTAGTAGAAGACTCCATTAATTTGATTGTAAGAGGTAAAATTTACAAATGTAAAGATACAATTGCAAGTGTCAAATGAATCTAGACAAAAGTAATTATTATTGTATGACAAAGTCCAGATCTCTACTTGAAATGAACAATATGACTGTTTAGATTGTTTTTTGCCAATGCAGTGTAAGTTTGCAATGACTTTGTGTGAAGAAAGACTGCATGTAAAGGTTACATGTAAATTGCAACTGACCTTCATAAATGATCCAAATTTTGTTCACTCTAACAATGGAGTATAAGAAGGCTTACAACTATCCTGACTACTCCTTTACAAGCTTTTTAAAACATAATTTCTTGTCTCAGACACTAGATATTTATGGTATACAAGCTGACACAAAATAAAACTGTTACCCATTCTTGATGAGGATTTTACTGTTCAGTTGTGTTTCCCTTGCTCTAAGTGTTATACAAATGTGGGCTGATCTAACTATTGGTGTTTTGCCATAGATTGCTCGTGCTCTAGCAGTTTTCAGTATAGATGAAGTTGTCGTCTTTGACGAGTCAGGAAAAGCTAAGATTGAATCTAGCAGTGGATTAAACCACAAATCAGACCCCAATATTTTGCTGGCAAGGATACTTCAATATCTGGAATGTCCCCAGTACCTCAGAAAAGACTTCTTTCCAAAACACAGTGACTTGCAATATGCAGGTAAATGGCATATGCAGTATTATAGGACTTCTTAAAGTCAATGCCATATCTTCAATTTATTTCAGACGCTGTGGTAAAAGAACTCTTTTTTGCACAATGTTTTTCTAAATATTTTTCTTTTGTTTCCTGTATGATGCAAAATTTTCTTATACATTTAATTATTTTTAAAAATATTTTCAAGAGAGCCGGTGCACAGAATGGACTTTGATGCATCTACCTAGCATTTCTCTCTCTGTTTCACAAGGGAATTGGAGACACTTTGGAAGGAGAATCTAACAGCTTATGGAAGTCGCTGAGGGTTTTTCCATCCCTTCTTCTACCTTGCTTATGGTTTTTATTTATGTTTTCTGTCTGCTGATTATTCCTTTTAAGTACACTTACAATGTTACCTACTAGCACACTGTGTACTATTTTTTTAACATCATAGTAATAACTAGATTTCAATTTACTCTTTAGGATTGTTAAATCCTTTGGATACTCCACATCACATGAAAGTGGATGATGATATGCCATACAGGGAAGGAGTAGTTCTTGAACGACCAGCCAGGAAAGGTTATGGTTCATCTGTGAATGTTGGAATGAGAAAAGAAGTGAGAATCGATAGAACCATTAAACCAGGTTTGAGAGTCACTGTCAAGATGAATAACACTTCAGGTGAGTGAACGTACACAAATTTACCTGCTTCAAGTTTGTTTTTTTCCTTTAGTTTTTGTTTCATAGTAGTAGGTTGATGAAAATTCTATATGTACACAACTAACCCTGATGAATAGTGCCTTGATAAAATCATGGTCCTCTCAAACTTTTTATCTGCTCTTAGGGTCTGAAATGATCTGAAGTTCAGGGCTGGGTTGTTCAAAGCTGGGTTAAGATAACCCAGGGTTAGTGTGAAATCTGGTTTCAGATTTGAAAGCTGTAAAAGAAAATTCAGTCCAATTTTCTTCGTCTATAATTTGATTATTTGATGCTCTAAAAAGAACAAAGAAAATAGTCCCAAAAAGGCATTTGAACAAAGAAATAAACAAGCCCAAATTTAAATTTAATCTTGAGTTAGTGCACTTAGTGATTAGCTGGGCCCAGGGAGCTAACCATTGGACCATCTCATCTTTAACTTTTTCTCTAAAAAAATAAACATTTAATTTGATTGATTCTCTAAAGAGCTGGACAGACCATGACATGTAAGCTAGAACCGTCTATGAAAAATACACATGCACCCTTACTTTGTGCTTTGCAGTCATCTCAATCATATGGCAAATAAGCCAGATCTGAATTAAAGTAACACTGCATAGAAACATGTGTAGGAGGTACTCTTCACATAAATGTTGTGTTTGGTATTTGAATAAAAAATTCAAAAATGAGTAAGTACACTAAACAAGGGTGACATTTTGTCTGTGTTTATTTTTCTGCTAAAAATTTAACAGGCACAAAGTTTTATACTGGAACAGTGGTGTCTCCCAGTGCCCCCAGAACAGAGCAAGGCCTATACTGGGGATATACTGTGAGACTGGCAACATCTTTTGGAGCAGTGTTTACACAGAGTCCTTACAAAGATGGTTATGATGTCACAATAGGAACTTCAGAGAGGGGCACTATGGTAGATGATCTAGTATTGCCAAATTTTAGGTACATTTATTGTGCAAATTTGATTTGTAAAAAAGTTATTTTCAATCAAACATGATTATATGTACAATAACTACTGGTGGTTTGGAGAAACTGCATTCCAGGACAGGAGAAAGAATCACACTTTCACAAGAATAAGATGAATGATCAGTGACTTAAAAGGTTCTTGATTTTTAATTAGATTCTCCTTCTCAGCAGCTTAGGAAATCTGTAAAGAACGGTATGAAGAATATGCATACTGATGTTAGGGTGTGAAGAGTTAAACTTTTGCCGAAAATGACTGCAAGAAAAATTACAACTATAATTTCCTATAATTACATGGACCTAATGCATTCTTCTCCCAAATAGCTATTTCTGCTTTTATGCATGAGCTCATTCTTTCGCAAATCGATTTATTACTTGCCTTTTTTTCAGACATTTATTGGTAGTGTTTGGAGGATTGAAGGGTTTGGAGACAAGTTTAGAATCTGACGAAACTGTACCGGCGAACGATCCATCTCTGGTGTTTGATCATTATGTGAACACTTGTCCTGGTCAGGGAAGTGGGACAATACGAACAGAGGAAGCTATTCTTGTCACGATGTCTGCGTTGAGACCGATCATAGCAAAAGCAACTGCGTGGACACAAACTATTGGGAATTCGTTGTAATGTGCAGTGGAGCTTCAAATAAATTTCGATCATTTGTTCCTCTGTTATTTCCACCCTATGATGAAAATCCCTATTGAAAGTAGGTGTCCTTTTGTGTGTTGTCTCTCACCGCATCTTTTCCTCTCGCTATATACGATGGAGGAAGGCATTCTTAAACATATTTTCACGACAGTGTCATGTCACCAACATCATAAATGAGACACTGTGGGTTTCTAACTGAGAGTCGTTATGAGCTGATTTTTAAACCAAATGGCGCGATTCGAGACTTTGACAAGCTGAATTTCACTTTCAATTTCCGCAATTATGTTGGATAGCCCAGCATTGGTGACTGATAAACAGTTAACAAGTTACTCCTCAAAATCAGCTGCAATAAAGATATCCTTTTAGTTCCAAACCTCTTAAATAAAAAATTTCTAGCGTTTGCTGGAGGCTGTTGGAATATTGAATTCTAGAGGAAAGAGAAATCACCTGCAAATAAACACAGAATAAAACAAAAAACAACGTACAATACAAGCAAGTGTATGTGCTTTTTGATCGGGTCGCGGACGTGGATGAGGTCTTGGTAAACCCTTTGCGGTCAAGTAGTACTTGACCGCAAAGGGTTTACCAAGACCTAGTAAAGGTCTTTTTTGGTATAGGAGTGCAGGACTGTGGAATACCCTTCCACCCAATATGAAATTACAATCTCGCTCTTAACATTTAAATCTAAATTAAATAACCTATATTTTTCTAAACTCGTCTCATACAGTCCTCCAAGTCAGTATTTTATAACTTAAATTGACTTGCTTTTTTTGTAAACACATTCTAGTCTATATATTTTCTTTTTTATCGTATTATAGGGATTAGATCTTAATTGGGACGAAAGCTCTGTTCCTCTCTCCTGCTACTCCACTTAATTTTTCCCTTCTTGTAACTGTGTTATGTAGACTAGTGGTTTGTATTTGTTGAACTGTGGTGAATAAATTAAATAAAAAAATAAAGATTCATTTTACGACATGATCTTGTCTTCGGGATAGGTTTCAAAGAATTATTCGTTCCGATTCCTTTCGTCTGGCCTATTAACAAATTGCGAAATAATTATAAGTTAAAGATATTGAGGTAATAGAATTGCTTCCTTATCATTTAGATCGCTTTTGATTAAGTAAGAGAAACTACACAGCTGCGTGTTGTGTTTAGAAAACGTTATAAAGGTCTTAGGACCTCAAAAAAAATACAGTCCAATCATTAATATTTTTCTTCAGACGAAATTCAAATTATTTAAACATGATTTCTGAGAATGCAAGGTGGTGGGAACTTCTATAATTGCTGACACGAAAGTCAGATAGTGATCTGGAATGATGGGGGCGGGCCAACCACTTTTTATAACGTGAAACAAAGTTCATGTGATGTAAATCCACGTGTATGACTCGCGCATAACTAGGTCAACTAGGGAAAAAACGTGATTTTATGAAACAAGAACTGAATCTTACTGGTAAATTGACATACGAGTGGGTAAGATTATATTACTCGTAAACTGCTGAAAAACTACTTATTGTAGCGCAAAATAAACCTTGGATGACGGAATACAGTCCTTTCAGTTTCATCGGTTGACCGTAAGGTCCATAACGATTCTGCGACATGGGATTTAAATTCTCCAAACACCGCTACGGTGGAACCTCGATTTAACGAATTAATTCGCGGAAAAACAACCAAAATGTTCGTTATATCGAGGGATGGTTAATAGTTATTGTTATGTTTGTCTTTTGTTCGTGGTGGAACGTCGCCTATCCACTATCCACTGTATAGAGGTTTCTGCTGTATGCAAATCAGGGAAAATGTTTTTATTTTTTTTGATAAGAGAGTGGAATTCGGCTCTTAGTAATAATAATAATAAGAAGAAGAAGAATAGGCACCTTAAGGTAGCATCCGCATACCGATAAGCCCCCTATTCTTATTCAGTTGTTCTTCTTGCCGACATAACATGTGTTAGAAAGTCAAGGATGGGTCATCAGATATTTTTAGTCTTCTCGAATAATCTTTTGTGTAGTACGTCGTGCTTCGTGGGCCCAATTGCGTTTTTGATATATCTATCCAGTACCTAAGAGGGAACTTCATTTGTAAACAAATCGGGCGACTCAGGGGTTGTACGCGACAAAATGGCTTCGTGTCTGTCTCACTGGTGCAATAACGCTTGGAACAAAGCAAGGAATATTTGTCGTCAGCTTAAGGAGCGACAACAACAAGGCAAGTAATTCAATGCTGTAAATAGGAGTGGCTTGCTAGATTTAGAAAAAGAAACAATTTTTTCCGTTTCATCGGCAGCTTTTTTGACAGCTGTTTCTCAGTCAATAGACCTTTACTTAGATTTGGAGGTTGCTTGAAAAATGTTTTGTAAGATATATCAGCGAGAGAAAATATTTCCACTAGCGTAAGCATTTCATTCTTTTCTTGAGTTGCAAACACGTAGGTACTGAAAAATCAATATATGGCAGTTTCCTTTAATCTTTAACGGTTCTTCTTACATGTAGAGTTTGGCGAGTTCGCGTTTGCATGTGTTTCGGGAAGACGAGAAAAACGATAATCGGGAAACGGGAACGAGAACGAGAACGAGAAAGAGAAACGAGGAACGAGGAACGAGGAACGGAATATCCTAACATCGTAAAAATTTAGGTATAAGTAGGAATCCAACTGTTACGTTTCATTGATGTTAGAGAATAGTGTGAATCCAGAACTCTAGAGATATCTACACGTTTTATTTTGAATAAATAGGGTGTTCATTTTGTTTAAAGGACTGCTTTATTTGTGTTACCTTCATCCTTATGGAATAGGAGTAGCATACCTAGATACCTACTGCATACCTACTTTTACAATATTGGACTTTCAAACATAGCCCCTGCAACAAGATGCATAATTTTAAGAAATGCTTACACAAAAAAACGTTGACTCGGAAATTGTACTTCAGCACCACCTAAATACTTTATAACAGAGAAAAACAAAGCGGCCACCTTGGGTCTCCTGTCCAATCTTATTTAGTAAGATTTAAAGTGGAACTTGCCTTTGACTGCATGTTTACTCTGTTTCCGCCTCTTCATGTCGGATATTTTGAGACTCCCGTTCCGCGTTCCCCCCTCCCCGTTCCCCGTTCCCCGTTCCCCGTTCCCCGTTCCCTGTTCCCCGTTCCCCGTTCCTCGTTCCCCGTTCCCCGTTCCCCGTTCTCCGTTCCCCGTTCCTCGTTCTCCGTTCCCCGTTCCCCGTTCCTTATTTTAGAGGTGTAAACCCGCGAAAACAGACTGTACATACCTAAAAACCACTTACAGGTTGTACTGAGTTATTTCCTAGCGATTTGTTGTTGCGGTTTGTGATATTGCTTAGGGTTAGATTCAGGTCAGTGTTGTCTCCTTAATGATGGCAATAGGACTAAGAGGAGTCCAATTCGGTCTGTAATCATATAGGAATTAACAAATTAGATGACCGCGCGCGACAACAAATCATTTCCGATTTGGTATTGAGCCAGGTTTGTAGAGATTAAACTAACAACAATTAATCATGCGACTAAAAAAGAAACAAGAATTAATCAGGCAAGCATTTGCAATCAGCCATGTAAAATTTCCTTTTACATGATTAAAATGTCATTTTATACGGTCAGTTTTTTAGGTGGAGAGGAAAATCTGCCATCCCCGAAAATATTAATCGTTTGGATGACGCTTCTTGGATGCTGTATTGTAAAAGGTACTATATTTCATATGATTCAGTGTAGAGGAGCACCCAAGCTCATGTCTCTTTGTTCATTATTGTTAATATTTGTAAAGAAAATAGACTTCGTGTGCAAATTTACGAGCCGCCTAAACACATACTTAAATGCTACATCTGCTTCATAAACAGACGTTCCAGGAGAGTATCCAAATTATTTATGTTTTCACCATTAAATTGCACTTTTGTGGGGCACTGAGAATTCTAGGCGCAGATGAGATTTAAGGAGTCGAATGTTCTCGGCAGTATCTGACGAACTTATTATTTCTGTCCTTCATTATCTACCAGTCAGGACAAGTAGATCATAACCAAGCAGTAGTTAGTTGCCACAGGCAGTGGGCATCACGTGTAATAGTTTATGTTTTGTTTTTTTGTTCTTTTTTTTCTACCAAAAAGGAACAATTTGAGGTTCACCAGTTTACCACCGATAGCAAATTTGCAAGAAGTACTGAACCATTAGTTTTGAAACTTTGATGATCACCTTTTTTGGAGTTTTTTTTGTATTCTACAATGTAAATGTGAGATAAGATATGGTTTGAATAGAATGAGGGCCCTAAGCTTTGAGAAGAACTTGCGTGCAGAGCTTAATTATCTTTTATGCAATTTTCATGTATCGTATTTGTACACTGTGCAGCTCGTAGAGGTTTGATGTTAATAAAAAAAACACGCCGAGCTTTGTTGCAACTTGACTTTGAAAGTGCTATGGAATTTTTTTGTCTCATCGCTCACAAAGACCCCCCTAGGCTACGATGTTCATTATCAACATCTCGGTCTTCCCATGATCTTTTCTGGCCTCTTCGACAGTGTTTTGCAATCTTTCCTACGATTCAAAAAGCACTTGATATGCTTAAAGTTGCTTTATTTTCTTGCTCTGAATTCTCTCGAATGAGAGGATATACTTTTTTTCTGAGGAGCATAAAAGGGATTCATAAGCTAGAATGATATCGATGAAGGGAATCTTTATTAGAATGATAATGAAACAAATTAACAACTGTGGTCTCGCAGACAGCTTTTTTGTTAGACAAGGTTACTTAATCTAAAATGTTTTTCAAGTTTCAATTACATCTTTCGCAGTGTAGAAGGCTTTAGTATAAGTAATATCATTTTTCTGGCCCAAGTTCTTGAAATTACAAAGTTATTTAAATCAATTGTTATTCTTTAGGTCTGTCGTCTCTAATACCCACGCAATTTCGCCACTGAGCCAGGAGCAATTTTCCAATTATGTCCAGACGGTTTTTTTCTCTCATCAGCATTTCCTTCGCCGAAACTGCTCTGTTTTCTGAATTTATGTGACAAGCTAAGCCTTTCTAGTGCACTAAGCTCCGTCATGATCGTTCCACCTAAATGGAGCACCAGAATTTCTTTTTTATTGAACTACTAAGCGAATCAAGCTACTTAAGAAAAATTTTCATATTGCCAACCAAATCTTTATGCAAATTCCAAAAAACGGTATTGTATTTATTGTTTTCTTTCATAAAACTATGGAATTACCGTAATTCACACAAACTAATGATATGATCAGTGGTCCTTGATCCTTTTGTTCTCGAGCACGTTCCCAATTTTGTCGATGTCACTTTTGCTCAAGATGTCGTCAACCGCTTGAAAGAACGGTCCACAGAAAAAATAGATTGAGAGCAATGACAAGACTTAAACTGACCGCGGAAGATTCTTTTTGGTTTTTGCACCGCGTATAAAATGCGAATTATATTGCAATAGCATAAGTATGATAATGATGCTATATCAAGTCGAAAATCTAAACTGTTTCGAAGGGTGAAGCGGTACTGGCTCTTTGCCCATTAATGTTAAGGCATAGTGATCACAG